CGAAGAGGAAGAGGAAGAAGAGGAGGAGGAGGAAGAGGCGGAGGAGGAGGAGGAGGGGGAGGGGGAGGGGGAGTGGGGGAGGAAGGATGAAGGGAAAGGGAGGGTGGAGGGGGATGGGTGGTGATGAGGGGGAGGGGGAGGGGGAGGATGAGGTTTCACAAACGCTTTTTGGGCCCCCTCAAGAGGTGCTGCGGAGTGGGTTTTAGTCGAGATGGAGTTATTTGGGAACAGAGATGACACTAGGGCGCTGGGGGGCGAGGCGACGCAGGAGGAGAGGCAGGATAAGGAGGTCCCCGCTGATTTCGTGGATCGTTGCCCGTTGCTGTACCTCCCTTCCCCGGCGTGCGAAGCGCGGCAAGAATCCGCGTGGACCTCGGAAAGGCACCAGCGTCCTCTGCCTTTTGGAACGCCTATGTGGCCAAACGTTGGGCTTAAGTCTGCCCGCGTTATTGTTCCCCAGCCGTTGTGGAAGCCCTTGGTTAAACATGTTGCGGAGGAAGAGAGAGGAGGAAGAGCTGGAGGATGGAGAGGGAGGCGAATGAGGACGAGGAGGACGAGGAAGAGGCCTCTGAAGGGCTCCTTGATGGCCTGCTGGGGCCTCTTGGGAGCCTCTTGGAGGTCTCAGCGTGCCTTTTGGGCCGTCCTGGGACGCCTCCAGAGGCCGTCCAGGGTCATGGGGGCCTCTCTGGTCTGGGAGGTCCAGCGGAATGACGCCCCAAGCGGATCCTCATTTGCCTCGCCCTCCCTGGGCGCGCGCAGCCGCCTAGCCATGGCCACTTTCGTGTGCTCTTGGGATGTCCGACCAGGCGCTGTCAGCCGCGACAGCCTTGGGAGGTCCAGCGGAATTCGGGATGGGCATGCCTCCACTAAAATGAAGCGGCCCTCTTCTTTAGGACGCGTCTTGGGCAGGTTTGGCGGCCCCGAAGGCCAACGTCAGCATTCCCGCCAGCCACGCCCCCAAGACGGCATTTATATTCGATGGGTTTGGGAACAGTGTTTTTTATATCTGTGTTGAGCTGCTAATTTCAGTGTGTGTTGCATGTTGGTTGAACTTCTGCACGTATAGAGTACGGCCGAGCGTCCATGCTAAAGAGGATTGGTGTCAGAGGTCGCCTCACCAAATGGTGTTGCTAGATGTATCGGGTGGAATGTTATCCAGGCGTGAGCCAAGAATCGGGCAGGACGCGTGGGCAGAAGAGTGTGCGACTGGCAACCGATCGGGCAACAGAAAATGCAGACATTGCAAAGTGACTGTGTGCGCTCAGGGACTCGACTGAGACGACAAACATAGGTTGCAATCGCACGTGATATTCGTTTGGGGGATCGTCCCTTCACGGTCGCCCGTGAGGTGTTCGTTCAGTGACAGTATCCGCCACACATATGTACATCGATATGTATATATATATATATATATACATACACACGGGGGCATTTTCCAATCGATTGTTCTTCGGCCTCGGGGAAGGATGGCGGTGTACAAATCACCATTGAGAGCCAGCAATGTTATACACCGCCGCTCTCCCTGAAGGTACATGCGAATTTCGTCGGAGGGCGTCTCTGTGTATATACATCTATGTCTATGTGTATATATATATATGTATATATATATATATATTCATGGCGTAGAGCACAGCCGAAAGGCTTACTTGCATTGGCTCTGCCTCGAGACGCTGGAGGCCTGGGCTGTGCGGCGACGCGCAGGCCTCGCCTCCGCCCGCGGCTCGCGCCCACCGCCCCCAGCACTGGCCCCCAGGTGCGCAGAGGCGCCCGTGGCGGTGGCATCGCCCTTCGCCGCTCTCGTGTCGTCCTCCTCCGATTCGTCCTCTCTCGCTTCGCCCTCGCTTCTAGACGCGTGCGAACAGAAGCCGGGCGAATCGAAGCGGACGACACGGCCCCGGACCTTCCCGTGCTCGAGGAGCGCCCGAGCCGCCTCTGCGGGGAGCCGCCGCCGGCCGAGGCTCACACCTCCTCCTCCTCCTCCTCCTCTCCTCCTCCTCCCTCCTCCTCCTCCTCCTCCTCCTCCTCCTCCTCCTCCTCCTCCTCCTCCTCCTCCTCCTCCCTCCTCCTTCCTCCCTCCTCCCTCCTCCCTCCTCCCTCCTCCTCCTCCCACCGCGGCCCCTCTCCCCGAAGAAGTGAAACTGCCGAGGCCAGCGCTTCTCCGTGGTGGCGGACACGGGCAGCAACACGCTCATCGTCCCTTCGTGCGTGTGCCAGGAGAGGGGCCAGTGTCCAGCGGACGCGCTCCCCGCCGCGGCAACGCCCCGCCCCGGCGGCGGAGGAGGAGGAGGAGGAGGAGGCAGGCAGACGAGGAGGAGGTGGAGGTGGAGGTCGGTGATACGAGAGGAGAGGAGGAAACATGAGGAGGCGTGGAGGACGATCAGGAGGGAGAGGCGGAGAGAAGGGGAGTAGGAGGAGGAGGAGGAGGAGGAGGAGGAGGAGGAGAAGGAGGAGGAGGAGTTGGAGGAGGAGGAGGAAGTGAGGAGAGGAAATCTGCCAGTAGCCAAGCGAACCGAGGTTCGTAACGAAAGCGGGCAGCAGTGCCAGCAGCTCCCACTAAGCGGTGCCTAAGTGCAGGGCTGGCAGATTTTTCCAGTGCATGCCCATATAATGTTCCTAGAGGGATAATGCAGTTCGGGGCTTCTGGGGGATAGTACTTTGTTTGTTCCTGCAACTCGTATGTATGGAGGCAAGGCTGGAATGTTTTCATCGGGAGCCTCGGAATTTGCACGTACGGATGTAGGTCTCTTCTCTAAAAGGTACGGCCTCGAAACTCTCGGTCCCAGCAGCTCGACATGTTTCGTCAGCGGCCTAGGGCGTGCCCTCTGCTCGACGGTCCTCGAGGGAACGCGCCAAGACGCTCGCCTCTCTGAGCGATCAGTCTCAGAGCGTACGCCCATGCAGCTTCGGCACCCTTTGGAGCCGTCTTTGTTGGGCAAGCATTTGGTGCACACCTGGGCTGCCCCGAGAGCGTCCTCGAGGGGCTTGTGCTCGGGCTCGTCCGCGAGCGGCGCCTTGTTCTTGGCCTTGCCCTTGCTGATGGCCCCGGCCTGGAGAAAGGTGTTGTCGCTCGCGTCCTGGAGGCTCTGGGTCCAGTCGTTGCCTGGGCTGCACTCTAGGCTGATGTTGATGGGCACTCGTTGGCCCTCGCCCCGGACCTCGCACAAGGCGCGCTCAATTCACCTTGTCACACAGAGCCCACAGGACCTTCAGTCCACTTGGGACGTCTTGTTGTTGCCTGGAGGGCATTCTTCGTGAGCGCCGAAGGCACCGAGCTTGCGGAGGATCTTCGTGGCGGCTTGCTTGGCGTTCGTGGGCGGTGTCTTGAGGGCGTCGCGGTACTCGATGGTCATGTGGGCCAGTTGCTTGGCCACCTCGAGGTAGGGGAAGTGCGCGGGGGCTTCGCTGTTCACCGCGATGAGCAGTTGCGTGGCCTTCTCGATTCTCTCAGCCCAGAGCTTCTGCTCGTCCGTCTTGCTGCACGGCGGTGGGCTTGTCCTTGCTCTGGTCCTGTCGAGCCCGGGCGACGGCCACCGTGGGCTCGAACATCACCACGCTTGCACACCATCACCGTGGGATCGTCGCGACGTCCTTCTCGAGAGCCGCCAGCTTCTTTTTCCTGTGCCAGTGCGCCGTTGCTTCGTGAGCGTGGCTTTGGGGCGCGTGTCAGAGTCGGTGCATGGTCTTCAAATCAGTGCCATGGATGTTGAGATCGATCGTAAGATCCATCGTGGGATCGATGGTGAGGACGATAGTAAGGTCTATCGTGCGACCGATAGTGAAGTCGGTTCAGTGATATCGACAGTGGGATCGATCGTGAGATCGCTCGTGCGACTTGTAGCGAGAGCGATTGTGAGATCGATTGTGGGATCGATTGTGAGACTGGTAGGCAGGTAAGTTATTAGATCGATGGTGATATCGATCCATAAGGAGATCGATCAGGAACCCGGGAACCCCAGCGCCCACCGAGAACGGCCTAGAATTAGCAACCGGGAACTTGGGCACCGGGGGACCTGGAACCCAGGAACCCAGCCGGCCACCGAAATAGGCTTGTGAGCCGCTTGATTTTTCAATATTTGTTAGGACACCTTCAGTGCAAGCACTGATCGGGGAACAGGTTCTGTTGTGGCGTGTCTCTTGTGACGACGCGGACGTTCCTTCGTGACTGTGTTCTTGGAGTCGAGTGGTCTTCGTGTCAAGATCCGTGGCGTTGTGTAGCGCGCCGCCTCCTTGTGCCGCTTGGAGCTTGTTTTCTAATCCTAGGTGGGCGCGGTCTCCAAAAGGACGGTGTTTTGTAGCGTCTCCTTTGCCTGCGTCCGCGTCGTCGTTTCCGCTTCAAGCGCCGGGTGATTTAATCGTTGGGAGATTTAGGCGCCGGGTGAGTCACGCGCCAGGTGAATTCGGCCGGATGAGTTCGGCGACAGGTGGGTTTCGCAACAAATGAGTGTGGTGTCGAGTGAGGTAGGCATTCGGTGAGCGGTGTCAGCAGTGGGCTTGTCTTTCTCTCACTATGTCTGTCTTTCTCCCCCTTTTTCTCTTCCTGTAGCTCGCGTCGCCGTCGGTGTCGTCGCCGCCGCCGTCTCCGCTTTGCGTCTTCGGCACGGCTTGCACCCGCGCTCCCCCGACGAGGAGGAGGACGAAAAGGGAAAGCAGGGGGACCAGGGGGAAAGTTAAAAGCAGGAGGAACAGCAGGAGGAAAAGGAGGAGGAGGTGGATGAGGTGGAGGAGGGAGGGGGAGGACGATGAGGAGGAGGAGGAGGAAGAGACGGAGGACGAGGAGGAGGAGGGGGAACACCAGTAGGAGGATGAGGAGGAGGACATTGAAGTTCTAGGTCTTGACGTGGTTTAGGCGCCAGGTAAGTCAGGCGCCAGGTGAGGCAGCCGCCGGGTGAGTCAGGCGCTGGGTAGTTTGGCACCGGGTAAGAGAAGGAGGATGCGGTGAGAAAGAGAGGGGAAGGACACAGATTCTTGAATGCGTTTGGCGGTGGGCGAAGTTGTTCGGACAGGACGAGGGGGAAGAGGACGAGGATTATGAGAATTTGAAGGCGTTTTGGAACAGTCTTGGACCACTGACCGCCCGTCGTCGGTTTGCACAAGCAGATGCCTTCACAACACGTTCGCTGTGTTATTGTCTCTCCTGGATATCTCTGTGCGCATACCGCGGGCGGTGTCGTCGGCCTCCCCGAGGCACCCGAGGCATCCGATCCATCTGGCGGGCGACTTTCGCACATTTTCAGCGACAAAGGCTGCCCTCGGAAGAGTGTCGCATCATTTCGGGTATCCAAAACAATCGGTCCCGGCTTTCTGTTGCCACGGCGAAGCATTGATGAGGAGTTTGCATGGGTCTTCGATTTCAGACGCGGGTGAATTCGGAATGCGAGGGGAGAGATTCTGTGGGTCGCTTGAAGGACTTCATTGTGGCAGCGGGCTTCCGTTCATTGTGGCAGTGGCCTCGAATGTATTGATGGGTCTCGGAGTCAAATAGGAGTGTCATGTGATTCGTTGTTGTCACGTCTAATGGACAGCGAATCTCTGTGACTTGGGTCTGCTGTCGCATCGCAGGATGTGGCGTGCGTCGCGATGCTGTAACACAGGCCAGGCACGACTTGCCCTCACTGGTGCAAAGCGCAGGACGTGTACTGGAGGGGGGCCCGCGTTGGCGTGCAGAGCCGGGGCACAGAACGGAAACACACACATGTACATAACAAGCACGGGAAACCGTTAGACATGTTCGATTATTGCGGAAAGCAAGCAGGCTACATGACCGTTGGCATTCTTCGGGATTTTCCGTTGCGCTTCACCGCGTGTGTACCTTTGTGTGTGTTTGTTTCCTCGTTTGGGCTTCGTCGTGGTAGGATTTAGTCTACATAATTGGAGCTTCCTTGGTGGAGTTAGACTCGGAGTAACGCGTGTGCACGGGGACGCCCGCGATCCGAATCTGCCGATCGGACCGTGCCTCATCGGTTTCAGGAGGTTGACTGAGTCATTCTGGAAGCCTCCCATGCGGGGAATTCTGGAAGGGTAGCAGCGCGTGTGCTACGCTCACGTTCGACTGCACGCAGGTCTGACCCCTCGCCAGAGTGACCCGTGGTGTGATGTCAGCGGCGTGCACGCTTGGATGTGGCCCTCCCGCGCCCCCCCGAATGCCGCGCACCATGGGTCTTTCTTTCCGCGGCGGGGATTCGTCCTTACCGCCACCTGGCAGGCGGCGGATCTGGATAAGTTCGGGCCATGGCGAGGCCAACTATATTCATCTCCGCTAAGAGCTAAGCGAAGGAATGCACAAACTTTTTGGTCCGCGGGCACCATCCAGGCAGGTACTGGCCAAGCATCGGGAGGGGCGCTCCTGCAACGAATTGTGGCATGGAAGGGGCCGGGCAGAGGAGACAGGCGCAACGCTAGAAGTCCTTCACGCGCGTGCCGGAGGTACACAAGGATTTCACAAACTTTAATTGCGAAGGCCTTACGGCCGTTGCCGCCGACCCTGAGAGCGACGAAGATGAACACGAGGGGGGGGCAGGGTGGAGGAGGTGGATGAGAGAGGAGGAGGGGGGAGAAGGATGTGGAGGAGAAGCAAGAGGAGGAGAAAGAGGCAGAGGAGAGCAGGAGGAGGGGGAGCAGAGGGGGGGGGAGGAGGAGGAAGAGGAGGAGGCCAGAGGCTTTCCCGGGACAGCATGTGGCTCTCCCGAGGCCGTCTTGGGCCGTCCAGGGTTTCTTTTTGCGCCGTCTCGAGGCACCTGGGCTGTCTTGGGGCAGTTTGGGCGCCCCTTGGGAGCCTCTTGGGGCTTCTTGGGGCTTCTTCGGGGCCTCTTGGGGGCCTCTTGGCGCTGAGATCTCGACATGTCCGTTCGGGTCCCCCGTCTTCGCACTCTCCTGGAGCTGTCTTGGGGCCTCTTGGGCCGTCTTCGAGGAGGTGTCTTGGGCCGTCTTGGGGCCCTCTTCGGCCGTTAGCGGACCCTCTTGGGGGCCTCTTGGGCCGTCTCGGGGCGATCTTGGGAGCCTCTGGGCCGTCTTGGCGCGTCGGGAAGCGGAAGAGGCAAGAACGCCAACATCTTTCAACCACGCATGGGAAATCCATGACTTTTGCCTTTTGGGGCTCTCGTGGGAAAGCTCCTGGAGGCCTCTTAGGGGCGCTTTGCAGGCCTCTTGGGCCGTCTGGAGGCCGTGAAGGCGTCTTGGACAGATCGTTCGGCGATTCGGGGTTCTCTTGGATTGTCTTTGGGGCCTCTTTTGGCACTATTGGCCCGTCTTGGGGCTTTTTTGGCCTCTGGAACTCCCAGGGGGGGCGTCGTATCTGACCCCCCCCCCCCAGGGCGTCTGACCCCCCCCCCCCCGGGACCCCCCCCCCCCTGCGGGGGAGGGATCGAAGGGAAGGGGCTTCTCTTCGACTCAATTACGACGTTGCTTATTTCGCTTTGGCTGGCGCGTTGAGGAGGTCCCTGGGAAAGGGGGGAGCTTCGACGAGCCCAGGGAAAGGGGGGAGGCAGGGAAAGGGGACGACAGAGACGACGACCAACGAATGACGGAGATGACGACTTGAACGGACAAGCCCCTCACACACGCCGACAGGGTCGGCGAATTTCCGTCGGCAGCGAGGCCGAATGGCTGCACCAGCGATAGAGCTAAACGGGAGCACCGAAAAGCGAATGGGCAAGCATGCAGGAGGAGGAGGAAGAGGGCGGACAGGGCGGCCGCGGAGGGAGGGAAGAGACGGGGCCACTCAGACGCGGAAGGTTCCCATCCCGAGTGAGCTGGCGCGGCCGGCCCCGTCAGCGGAGACCATGGCAGCAGCCAGGCCGCAGCGCCAGGGCACCCACGGGCGATGACGGGGCCCAGTACGTGGAGGCAAGTTCTGCAGTGATGCCGCCGGTGAAGTAGAGGCACTTGCCCGTCAGGAGAAGCGCCGTGTGGCTGCCCAGGTGGGTGGCCTGTTGACAAGGTGCGGCAAGTCCGTGAGGGGTGCTGGCGGCAAGACCAGGCCCAACACCGAACACGGGGGGAGCGGCCCGCTGCGGCAGCAGCGTGGGCGCCATGGCGGCGCTCGGAGGGAGGGGGGACAGTGCAAGGGGGAGAAAGGGGAGACGGCAGGGAGGAGGAGCGCCCCGCCTGTAGGGAGGTCCCCGCAGACGCGGCAGGCAGGCGGCCCGCGCACCGTGCTGCTGCGGGCACCTGCGCACGCAGCCCCAGGTTGGCAGGGCAGGGCAGCGGGCGCACGCCCTGCGGCCGCCCAGCAGGGGGCTGCGGAGCGGGTGTGCAGCCTGGAACGAGACTGCGGCAGAGGCCATGGGGCCACGCGCTGTTGGGGTTCACAGCGCGTGGCGGGTCTGGGGGCACCTACCCGGTGCGGATCCTGCGAATTGAATGGCGGCCGAGGCCGTGGAGAGCCGCGCGCTGCCGGGGTGGACGGCGCGTGGCCGATCAAGGGGCACCCAACCGGGGGAAATCCTGTATGGAAGGTTTCAGCTGAAACGGTATGCGCCACGCGCCGCCGGGGTGGTTGGCGCGTGGCGTGTAGGGGCATCAGGGTGGCTCAGAGTGCGCTGAGGAGGCTGGAACTGATACGACTGGAAGCCCCGCGCTGGTATGGGTGGACGGTGCGCTGCGGGTCAGCGTGCGCCGATATTTGGCAGCTTGAATATACAAGGGCCGCAGGGAATTTGACCGTAGTCCGCGTACTGGCCAGGGGTGTTCTGAGCTGAGCAGGCGCGACGGCCAGGTTGGATTCCCAACTGGTGGGCCTGCTGTTCTGGGGGAGCAGCTTGCGGAAGCGGTGGTGGGCGAGCAGCGTTGGCTATCCTAGGCCGGCCTTGGTGCTAAGGTCTTAAGAGGCAGGGCAGGCCTGCCGAATCTAGACGGTGCTGCCTCGACTGCTTGTTTTTGTGCCAGGTGGGGTCGGCGCGCCTCTTGCTTTTCCCGACCGTGGCCCTTCCCTTTGCCCTTGCCTTTGTCCCGCTGTTGTTCGTTGCGCTGGAATTGGCGTTCCCAGACAGCCTCCCAGTCCACATGGACTCCCCGCAACCTGCAGACTCTGCGGGTGTCCAAGCACTCGTTCACGAGCTCATCGCAGACGGGGCGTGTCCCTCGGGGTTGTGGTCCCTCTTCCTAGTGCCCGGTTGTCCCTGGCGTCGCAGAGAGCGTTCCAGCCTTCCACGAAGGACACCCCGCAGTCCCGCTTATGCCTGTTAACGACCTCGGGCCAGGTCTCACGGGCGTTGGGTCTGTGATTCCACGCTTGGTACCAGGTGATCATCCGGTTGGGCCGAATATATAGCGAGTCGTTGGGGTCTTCGTGGCGGGCATAGCCAGGATCTGACCGCGGAACCCTGCGACAATCGTGCGCCTCCAGGTTGGCGCGAGCTGGGCCGGCGGTGGAGGAGGATGTTCTTCCTGCCCGGTAGTTGGCCCGGGGGTTGGCGTGTTCAGTCCATGCGTCTGGGGTTGGTGACTGTAACCTCCTTGCTCGGCCGCCTTAGGTGATTTACGTGCACGTCCTTTTTCGGGTTTGGTTGCTGCGGCCCGTTCTGCCACTGCGCTGCTTGTGCGGCGGTCGCTGGGTTTGGGTGCACTTGTATTCGCCTCAACTGTAGCGCCGTCGTCCGCGGCCCGCACGTGCTGCGGAAGCTGATTGGTCAGCAGCCGCTGCCTGGAGTTGCTCGCCCGCGTGGGGCCCCTTGATGGGGTTTGATTGGGGGTCTTGTCCTGTGGCCTCGGCGCGAGGGCAGAGGGGGGTAGGCCAAGCGTGGTGCGTTCGCGTAATATCTGTCATCATGCCCCTCCCTCCCAACCCTTACCATGGCGCAGATCTTCTCTTTCTGCGCACAGGCTGATGTCGAGCAAAGCAATGATCCCGAGAGGGTTTGCGAGTCATGGTAACGCACGGCGTAGCATGATGTAGAAGAGCGCGGCAGAGTAGAGCATGTCATAGCATGGCTTGGCATTGCGTGGCGTAGCATTTCATCACAAAGCGGTACATGGCAAAGCATAGCATCGCACAGCGCGTGGAGCACAACGCAACATCGCATTGCATGCCCTGGCATGGCGCCGTATGCCTTGGAGGGTAAATGGCCCGTGCACGCAAGGAGAAGGCATGTCCGGAATCCCGGCTCCATGTCCTGCGCAGTCGTGCTTGCCTGATGTGGGCGCTTTCGAATGCCAAGTGCCGTCTGGTAGGGGTACTTGATAGTGTAAGGCCCCCCCCTTCCGTTCGACACGCTGCCCTGCGTTCCCAGAGCCCCCGTCCAAGTCTCCCTGGGCTGCCCGTACAGCTTCGCACGAGGCGTGGCGGATGGCCCGAAGACTTCCCGAAGCTCGAAGCTCCAGGGAACGCACAGAAATTGCCGACGACGACAACGACGCAGACGACGGCGGCGTCGGAAATTGCGGCGGGCGAGAGCGGGTGTCAGGAAATAGTACTGCGGGCTGCCAAGCTCGATTGTTTGGCTTCCTTGAAGTATCGGCTCACACTGGGCCCCTGGACCCTTCACGGGGTCCAGTCGGATCGGCGTTTTCCAGCCGGATCGTTTTTTAAGGTCCCCGGGGCCCGACAAAGGGGGGGGGGCTTCGCGGCCCCCAAAATCAACGAATCGTCACCGAATGTGTAGTCTCTTCCGATGGTTCTTCAGAGAAATGTTTTTAGATTTTGTGGCCTAAATGGAAGGAACGAAAACCTTGCCGTGGCATGGCGCTGGAAATGATGATGCCCGCATTGCAGCTGGAGCACGATTCGGAACGAGCGGAAGCGCGGAAATGAGGCCCGCGTTGCAGCGGGAACACGATTCGGAGGACACTTGCTTGAGATAGCATGGGTGGCGAGGACTTCCGCGGCCCCGAAATCAACGAATCGATACCGAATGTGTAATCACTTCCGATGGTTTATTCTGGGGGCCAATTTCTCAGATTTTGGGACCTACTTGGCACGACCGAAAAACATGCCGTGGCATGGCGCTGGAAATAATGACGCCAACGCTGCAGCGGGAGCGCGATTCGGAACGAGCGGAAACGCGGAAAGGTGCAGCGGGAGCGCGATTCGGAACGAGCGGAAGCCCGACACTGAAGCCAGCGTGTTTGGGAAATCTTGTTTTGCAAAAGCGACATCGCGGAGGGGGGCCGAACATCTCCCGGACGTCACCAGGGGAGAGAGGCGAGTAGTATTCATATTGAGTACGGTAGGTTTGCGTCGTGTCGACCAGCGGCGACCCCAGCGCGGGCGTTCAAGGTTGAACGCCGCCGGCGACCCAGAATCGATCGATGTTGAACGATCGGACGTTGCGGCAGCGACCGATCGTTCAAGGTTGAACGATCCAGCGCGGTGTCAAAAACCAACGCTGGGGTCGGCACGACACGAACCTGCCGTAATTCTGGAGTGTAGAAGGTTTCTCAGAAGCACCTTGTTTCCTGGAAGCTGCGGGCCTTGTCTGTGGATGCGAGGCTCGCGCCTTCTGAGAAGCAGCCTCCTTCTGAGAAGCCTTCACCGCCAGCGTCAGCGTCAGCGTGACCAGGAGGAGGAGGAGGAGGGGAAAGAGGGGGAGGGGGACGAGGCTCGACGAGGGGGAGGAGGCTGGAGCGGGAGGCGGAGGAGGAGGCTCGGGGAACGGGAGGGGGAGGAGGGAAGGAGGGAAGGAGGAGGAGGAGGAGGAGGAGGAGGCGGAGAGGAGGTGGAATAAGAGTGGTCACCACGTGAGCCAGCTTACGCATCTCGTGCCTGAGGCCACGGCCTCCGCTCCATGCCCCGCTAGAAGCACGGCCGGGCTCCCCAGAGAAGCGAGCACGGCCCCCTCGCTGCGCTCCGCTTCGCTCCGCCTCGCTCCGCTTCCGCAGCATCGGGTGTTGCCAGGAGTGCCCCGTGGCCCAAGGAGCCCCCAGGATTTCTAAGGAGGCCTCCACGGCCTCCGGAACACCCCTCACGAGGCCCAAAGGGCCCCAGGGCCTTCAAAACCGAGCGACAAACTGGGGGCACCTCGGGCCAGGGGCACCTTTCGCACCCCCCGACAGGACGGCTCCGAGCACTGCTTCACCGGTACCAACAGGTCCTCGTCTTTCCAGGTCGAGAGGGACGCGAATGGGCCCACCAGCCTGGTGCTCACCTTCGGCAGCGGCCAGATCAAGGGCATCGTCGCGAAGGCGGCGCTCGGTGTGAACGGTGAGCGGCAAAGATGGATGTCGAGGTAAGAGATGAAGAAGGTGGATGAGGAGGACGCGACGACGACGACGAGGACGATGCGGGGACGAGCGGAAGGATTACGGAAACGAGAGCGCGAAGGTTGGATCTGAGGCATGGTTAACACAGGGTTTGTATTCGTGTCGTGCTCCCTTGATCAGCGCTCGTCTGCGAGATATGTTGTTGCATGCTGCAGGTTCCGCCACCGTGCCATCGCAGAACTTTGTGTGGAGGTGCTTTGAGCACCGCAGAGACAGCCATCGCATGTGACACCTCGTCTATCTTCGATAGGCTCTCATGAGGCCTGTCTGGGCCGTCGCGGGACCTTCTTTGCCCCTGCGGGGCCGTCTTGGGGACCTCTTGGTATCTTCTTGGGCCCCTGAGGCGTTCTTGAGCCTCTGGGGCGTTCTAGGGCGCCTCCTGGCCGTCTGCGGAGGCTGTCTTTGAACCCTCAGTCTCAACCGCCCTACCCTCGTCGCCCTCCTCCTTCCCCTCTCTCCCTCCCTCGTCCGCTTCCTACTGTTTGCCCCCTCTCCTCTCGTCATCCCCCCCTCCCCGTGGGTCTCCTCCCTCCCTCGTAATTCCTAGCTCCCCAAATCATTCCCTCCTATCGCTCCTCCCTCCTCCTTTCACTCTCCTCCTCTCCTGCCCCCTCCCCACCGTCAGGGACTCCACCCTAAGAAGCCTGGAGTTCAGTCGACCGCAAACGTTTTGCCAGCTCGGAGGTGTGTAGCCGTGTTTCCAGTGTGTGCGGCGCACCTGTCTGTTATTTGTCTGCCCATTGTACAGTGCGAATGGCACACGTCAGACCATGACTTTTCTCCATCGAGGTCTCGTCTCCCCCCTTGGGTGTATGTGGGCTGCAGCCGAGTCATGGCAAAGGCAAACCTCCAGCCCGCCTCGGAACTGGGCCGCCGGCCCGCAGTCGCGCACCCCCGCCGTGCGCACCCCCACCGCCGCGCCTTCCGCGAGGAGCGCGTGAAGGTGGGCCAGGTCGAGGCGTTCTTGGACGACGGGCTGCTCCTCATGACCGACCGGGCCCTGAACATCCAGGGCGCCTTCGAGGAGCCTCCCCCTCGTCGTCGGGCTCGTCCGCGGCCGTCGGCCTCCTCTATGGGGGCCTTCTCGTCTGCCCGGCCGCCGCCGTCGCCGTCGCCGTCGCCGTCGCCGATGTCGTGGACGACCCCGTCGTCGTCCGCGTCTCCCTCGTCCTCGTCGCCGTCTCCTTTCTATCGTCGACGGCGTCGTCTTCCTGACGCTGGTTATATCCTCCGTTTGTCCCCCTCTCCCCTCTCCCCTTCCCTTGGCGGCGCGCGCAAAAGGCGGCCGCGGGGAAGGCGGCCTTGTGAGAAGGCGGGAGGCTCTTCAGAAGTCAGTGTTCTTCCAAGCTTCGAAACCTCACGGGTCCTTCTTAGACACCCCATGGGCCCTTCTAAGAGGGCATTCGTTTTGAGATGCCCCCACCCTCTTACAAGGCCACCCTCCTGGCGCCACCTCCATTTGTGCGCCGCCCACTCCATCAGCCTCCCCTTCCACATAATCCTCCGCATGATCTTCCTCGCCCCTCTCTCCTTCCGACATTCCTTCCCCGGCTCCTCCTCTCAACATCCAGAGGACACGCTCGAGGATTCGTTCTGGAGCTCGGGCCGCAGGGGCGGGGGAGGAGGAGGAGGAGGAGAGGCGAGAGAACTTGAAGAGGCCGAGGAGGAGCAAGGGGGGGGAGGATGAGCAGGATGGGGCGGAGGAGGAGGAGGAGGATGGATGGAGGATGCGGGATGCGGGAGCATGATGATGGTGGGAACTGCTCAGTATGATGAGCAGCAGGATGATCTGGACGTGTAGGCGTATGGGAGGAGGAGGATGAGAAAGAGGAGGAGGAGAAGGAGGAGGAGGAGGAGGAGGAGGAGGAGGGGAGGAGGAGTATGAGTGTTGCTCCTCACCCTTGCCTCGTGGCTCAAGATGCCGCCAGTATGGCAGGATCTCGTGCTGTTCCAGGAAGTCCTTGGCCGACACCTTGTCGAGCTTCTGTTCATAGTGACTAATGGTAAGTTTGACTCTGTTTGGCGATTGGCTCGGTCGTACCTGCGTCGGCTTCGAAGTAAGCGCCAACGTGATGGCAAGAACACATCATGCGGAACGGGGCCGAAGGGGGAGCAGGAGGAGGCGGAGTAGGAGGACGAGGAGGAGGAAGAGGAGGAGGAGGATCGTGATGGTGACGATGAGGATGAGGGAAGATGAAGAGGAGGCAGATGAGGAGAGGGGGAGAATGCGGAGGAGGAGGAGGAGGAGCAGGAAGAGGAGGAGGAGGGAGATGCAGGATGGGTCGGAGAATGCGCAGGAGGAGGAGGGGGGGGGGAGGAGGAGGAGGGGGAGGAGGGGGAGGAGGAGGAGGAGGAGGAGGAGGAGGAGGAGGAGGAGGAGGAGGAGGAGGAGGAGGAGGAGAGCCAACAGGAAGAGTGGGAGCAGGAGGAGAGCGAGGACGAGGAGGAGGTCGGCGAGAAGCCGCCGCCGCGCACCGCCGCCAGGGCATCCTCGGGCTGGGTGTGCCGCAGGCCCCCGAGGAGCGCCCGCCCCGCGGCCGATCGACGGCCGGCGGCCTGCGGCGGGCGCTGCCGCTGCCTGGAGTCACCGAGCGCGTTGCGTTCCACTGATGGGCATGTTTTCCACCACAACCGCCATAAGTTGGAGGGGGGAAGGAGGTGGAGGACGAGGAGGAGGAGCAGGAGGAGGACCCCCTCCCCCTCCAACTTATGGTGGTGGTGGTGGAAAACAAGCCCATCATCCAGTTCTCGCAAAGTGTTTATTCGCACATTTCCCAACAAGCGCATGCTTACCTCGATGTAGTGTATCGTAGCCCCCCCGCAACGGATCCAGGCCAAGTGCGAGTAATTACCTTGCGAGTATCGCAACGTACGCGCTTTTCTTTTGAGGTTCAGTCGTCTTGCTGCCAGGTTCAAATCCGAACTGGCGCTGGCAATTCCCGGGTTAATAACTCATTGCGTCTGGCAAAGTCCCGTTGGATCCTGATGAATCCCGCTGAATCCCAGATAATTTGGTTTCACCCTGGGCTTGATCCAGCCTAATTCTGGCCAGTGGCACTTGAATCGGGTTTAATAGTATTGAATCGTTCTGACGAACACCTCCCAGGAGTTGCCTCCCAAGTTAACCGTCGTGCGTTGAGAGTATGTATTGCGAACGCTTTACGACCAGTGCCGCCAACCCTGAAAAGAGACGACGACGATGACGTGGGCGGCGGCGAAATGAGTACCCGTCGGTCGCTGGATTCTCATTTTCCATCCTGCTTTGGTCGAAGGCTCCCTCCCCAAAGGCAAACACATAATTTTCGGAGGTCTGCGCGGCTCTCTCGCATTAGCGCCTCCGGCGCCGCCCCTGGCGCGCACCACGCGCCAGGGAGGGGGATTCAGCGCCGATCCAAGAAATCCGCGCGAACCTCCAGAACTGTACGTCTGAGTTGTTGTTTTTCCTATGTCAGTGGGTCAGAATGAGGGGACCGAAGGGTCATTCACTGTCCCTGGGCGCGTGGCTGAGGTGAGGTTCTGCGGTGTGGATCATTGTTGTTGTTGGTTGTTGTTGTTGTTGCTGCTATTGGATTCTCATATCTAGAGAATATGCATTGTTGATCCCCCTTCCAGTAGCCATGATTTTCTCATTGCAAGTGTTTTTTCCTCGACTCGCACCCTGTGTTTTCTAAGGGAGGGCGAGGGATCACCAACCTGCGTTGTTGGGCCCCGAACTACAACAACAACGGCTCGCGCCTGATACTTCCTCACGCTATGTTCCCAAATCGCGCTCTCGCGGGGGACTTCCTCACAATTTGTTCAGGAATCGCGCTCTCGCGTGGGACTTGCTCGCCATTTGTTCAGACGCCGCGCCCCCGACATTCAGGAATCACCTTCTCGCTGTGGATTTCCTGACGATTTATTTTGGGGATGGCGCTTTCGCTACAGACTTCCTCGCGACTAATGCGGGACGCACGCTTCAGCAACCCGCCTGCTCCACCTGGCCGCCGGGGCCCGCCTTCCCGATGGGGTCTACCCGCCCGGTCTGCCCGCCTAGTTCTGACGCGTGTTACCTGCTCCTATCGGGCCGGGCGAAAGGGGGGGATTGGGAAAGGGGGGGTTACGAAATTTGCTGCATGCAGCTGGTTTCGGCCTCACCGAGGGGGCCATTCCTCGATACATGGCCGCCTCCCGGCGCCGGGAGGCGACGGGAAAATCAGCTACGTGAGCTGATTCTCAAACCCCCCCTTTGCTATCCCCCCCTTTCGCCCGACCTGCTCCTAGCCCCTATCCTGCTAAAGCATGTGCTTTTGGGGCATCGAGCCCAGCTCGGGCGTCTCAGCGGCAGATCCGCGGAGGGCCAGCCGCGGCATCGGTGGCCCTCGTCCTCGGCATTGATGGACAGGGTGAGGGCCGCCAGGAAGGCTCGTGGCTCGGGGCTTTCGGTTGTTCTCGTCGGGTCTCGACGGCTGTCCAGCCTCGGGATGCAGTCCAGCAGCTGTGCCTCGCCGGGAGCGTTCCGGAGGTGCCCGCCTCCCCATGTGCCGATGAAGACTTATAGCAATTCACTGGAAGTTGAATGATCGACGGCGCCGAGATTTACGCGTGAGCTACCCGCGCAAGGTCGCGCGTGAGCGCCCTTGTTTCCAATGCAGCGCGCTGCGCTGGCGGCCCGCGTAAGCCACCGGTAAGACCCTTTCCTTTTCGTCGCTTAGGTGGCCCATGAAGCAGAGGGGCATGAAGGGAGGGGTTCTGGAGGGGTTAGGTTGTCTCCGGCCTCTCAGGGGCCTTCCCTATGTGCCAATTGGGCTGCCAACAGAAAAACACCCATGACGAATAGCGCCCCCCAGGGGGAAACAAAGGGCAACGACCCTTAAGGCGACTGGCTCAGGGGGGCACTTGGCCCAAGCGGAGAACCATCGACCCCCATTCACCCATTCATCGCCAAGTGGGGCCTAGGGACCTAGGCCCCCACGCCGCCAGGATCGCTCGGTTTCGCTAATCCTCGGGGGCCTGTCGCTGATCTATCAGCGGTGAAACTACAGGGATGGGGAGTCGGGTTGCCAGCTACAGAGGGGCAGTTTTTTTGTTGTTTGTCTGGGGGGGTTTTCTTGGATCTTGCCAAGAACATTGCACGCCAAAGACGTTCTCTCTGTAACGTTGAGTTCGTATTGCGTAAGTGAAGGCGTGTGCTGGGGTGCGTTTTGTCACCCGTTGGGCCGTGAGGGAGATCTCGTGGGATCCCAAGAGGCTCCCGGGCGCACAAAGCACTATGGCGAGAGATCTTAGGGCTTGCCCCCTCCTCCTTCTCCATCCTCATCTCTCCTCAGGAGGGGAACACAGACACAAACACCGAGAAACGCTGGTTCCCAGGAGCGCATGCGAAAATATAGGAAGTGCAGGGGAAGACGGGAATCCAGAAAAGATTGAGAAAGTGTACGCGGAATTTTTGGAATTGTGTTTATTGTTTGTGTGCCCCTGGGCCCCCTCACTCTCCCTCCTCATCTTTCCTGCATCTCCTTATTCTCCCCTTGTCCACTCCTGCTCTCTCCCTCTCCCTGCTCCCCCCTCCATCTTTCCTTCTTCTTCCTCCTTCCCGTCCTGCTCTCTTTGCTCCTCGCTTTTCCTCCCTCTCCCCTTCCGCCGTTCTCCTTCCCCTTCCACCCCTCCTCCCTTCCCCTCCTCCCTCCCTTCATCCCCTGAAGGCCCAAGGAGAGCCGAAACGGTCCGATCACCCCCCTCGATCTTCGAAGCCTCGAAGCCTCGGCGGCGGCGACGACGGCGACGGGCCGAAGGATCCGCAGAAGCAGCAGGCGGAAGCTGCCGAGGCCGCGGCCAAGGCGGAACCGCCCAACTTTAGTGGGGAGGGCAGTCAGGGGTGCAGCCAAGACGTTGCTCGGCGGCGAGCGAGGGGGGGGAATGAGGAGGAGAAGACCTTCTCAGACGGCGGCGGGACTTCTCGGAAGCTCTTGCGTCTTCTGAGAAGTTTGTTGTGTCGGGGACGGCTTGGAACATTTCTCAGAAGGCCAGGGGATTTCCGAGCCTTCTGAGAAGGCCCGCCTCTTCTCACTTTCCCACGGGCTCGCCGCCGAGCTGCAACAAGAACATTTTGGGTTCAGCAGGGGCCCTGGTTTTCAGATCTGGGCTGGGCAACGTTTTTGTGGCCAATGCTCGTCGCCGTGTGCAGAGAAACCTTGTCGTTCCTTCTCGGGTGCTCCCTCGGCTGGAGGGGGAGGCCAGCGGATGAGGAAGAGGAGGAGGAGGAGGAGGAGGAGGAGGAGGAGGAGGAGGAGGAGGAGCGAGAAGGGGAAAGAGCGAGGAGGAGGAGGAGGAGCCCAATGGTGTCGGCCAACCCCCCCCTGTCCCCTCTGGCGGGCCTGGGCCTGGGCGCCAGAGTGAGCCAGCCCGGGTCTGAGCGCCACTCGCGGGCACACGCTGAATTCGCCTTGAAATCTTAGTCGGAATGCACGCCAGGAGAGGCACGGGGAGTGGCGGTATCGGCACGCTGTGGTATCACCGAGGAAGTGGAAGCAGGACCTACAAAAGGAGGGGCATGAGGAAGGCTGGGGCAGTAGGAGAAGGATGAGGAGGGAGGCAGGAGGGCGACAGAGAAACACTTTACTGCTTTGCGGCACGAGTGAGGCAAGAGGGGGAAGTAGTCGCCACAGCCCCAATCCGAATTCAGCCATAGCGCCCAGGGGATGCCAGCGCGCCCCGCGTGGGGCCCGCGGCACCGGATCGCAGGAGGGTGCCGCGCAGGGGGCGATCGCAGGGGGACGAGCAAGAGGAGGAGGAGGAGGAGGAGGAGGAGGAGGAGGAGGAGGACGGAGGAGGAGGAGGAGGAGGGAGGAGGAGGAGGAGGAGGAGGGAGGAGGGGGAGGTGGAGGGGGGGCCAGCTGATCGGGCGGGCGACAACGCAAAGGGGGGCCGATTGTGACCACATGGGCGCGCAGGCTGCCCGCGTAGGCATGAACGCACTCTGCTCCACGCAGGCGGCCTGCCCAAGCCACACGCCCTTGCGCTTTCGCCATCGCCCTCCTCCTCCTCCTCCTCCCTCCTCCTCCCCTCTCCTCCTCCTCCTCCTCTCCTCCTCCTCCTCTCTCCTCCTCCTCCTCCTCCTCCTCCTCCTCCTCATCGCCCGAACCGATCTCGCCTTGTTCGACGGAAGCCGTCTGGGAGGGCCGTCTGAGAGACCTCTTGACAGCAATTGGCCTCTGTCTCTCTTGTGTGCAGGCCCATGAGCGAGGCGCCCTGCGCAGCGGTCAGAGGCCTCCTGAAGTGGGTCTCCGCAGCGCAAATGTGCTTTTCGTTTGGCCTTCCATCACGCACCCCAGCCGTCGTTTGGCGGCTTCTATAGGAGTGAATTCTGCCGCTGCTGGCAAGGAAGGGTTCAAACCCCTCCCCCCCGAAACCAGGACTAGAGGAGGGTTCCGGAACCCCACCCCCCAGAAAAATATTCGGCGGGGTCCAGGGCCGCCCCCACCCCAGGATAATTGTTCGAGGCGTCCAGCGTTCCTCTCAGGCAACGACGACGTCGTCGCCGCCGCCGCCGGCAAATGCGGACGACGGGGACGATGACAACGACGACGACGAAGACGACGACGACGACGACGACGACGACGACGACGACGACGACGACGACGACGACGACGACGACGACGACTTCGACGACGGCGGCGGCGGCGTTGACGCTGACGACGACGACGACGGCGACGACGACCCAAACGACGACGACAACGACGACGACCACGACCACGACCACGACCATGACGACGACAACGACCACGACGACGACGACGACCACGACGACGACGAGGATGACGACCACTTCGACAACGTCACCGGCAGCGGCGGCGCACATGTCGCCAGCGCTGTCCGCCAGGTGCTGGCTTTGATAGAATGCTACCAGAGCTGGGTCCAGCTCTCTCTGAGTCCTAGTCAGGCTCGATCCAGCTTGAACGGATGCCTGTTATTGTGGCTGGACCCAGCCGTCATACAAGTTTTATGAGGGGCCATCACGCTCAAATGGAGTGTTTCAAAGTCTGGACCCAGCTTTAATAGAGTCGTACCAGAACTGGATCCAGCTCTATTGGTTCCAGCTATGGAGTCCCACAAGCGCCCAATCCAGCCTTAATGCAATAGCGTTAGGCTTGCATTTAGCTCTCATAGAAACCCACTGGTGTTCGACCCAGCTCTGGCATAGAAGCCGGACCAGCGATGGTGGATCACATTCCTTCGTTGGATTCGAGGGGGATTCTGGGACAGGCTGTTTCGTCGCGCAAAGTGGCGCGATGGCGGATCTGCATGCGTTGGTGCCTTTTGCGACACAACGCCTTGGCTGCGAATTCACGAAGCTCATGCTCCGTAAGGGGTTCCTGGGCCGACGACCAGGACGATCAGCCGTCGAGCTTCCTTGCGTCAACCGCGACACCTCGACCCGCGGTCAGTCGCTGCGTTAGTCCCGCGCCGTCCGCGGGTCGCCATTTCGACGCCCCGAGGCTGGGCCTCCTTGGCGGAGCAACTCTATGGTGGAGAAGCCATCAATGACCTGTGCCACAGCAAGCCTTTCATAGCGCGTGGGGTCGCCGGTGAATGAACATGCCTCTGCGGGCGACCGCGTGAGGAGGTCAACCCATCCTAACCGCCATCCTGGGGGGCTGGGTGGGCGGGGGCGGCCGCTTTGCCGCAAGAGCCAACGCCGAGAGCATCCTCGAATGCTGCCCCCGAGGGGCGGCCCCCAGCGTGAATCCGAGATCCTACGACTGCCGGGCGACAGTTCGAATTTGGCTCGCTTAGTTCCGCGGTCTTAAATTCGCCAGATGTGCGCCATCCAACCAACCCTCCCTGCGCTGGTGGCTGCACGACGTCTTTAGTTCCACCGCCTGTCTTCCTCATCCGGGAGGGGTTTTCTCCCCGACCCCTCCCCGGTTAGGGGTCACAGTTGCACGCGGTCTCAGGGGGTCTTTTCGGGCCCAACGTTGCTCCAACGTAGCTTGAACTAGCTCAGGATGGCCTCCACAATGGCGCGAGATAGCTCGGCGCGGTCAAGCCCGGCCGCTGACGTATTTCCGAACATTTTCAAGACTGCCGCAAGACGGCCCTGGACGGCCGCGGAGCCTTCCCAAGTCGTCCTGGGCGCCCCGAAGCTTACAGCACGCGTGTGATTTTCAATGTGCGTTTGCCATGCCGCCGCGTCGCTTCCGACGGGCTTCCCCGACGTTTCAGCATGGTTCCCAGTTGCCCCGAAACGTCCCCGAGGGGCCAGGACGGCCCCAAGGGCGCTCAAGAGATGGCCCCGAAAGCGTTCGAGCGCGCCCCGATTGTGCACCAGTAGAGCAGTAGGGCCCCGATCGGCGGGCGATTACGAGGACGCCGACGGGGAGGGGAACCCTTTTCAGTTTCTGACAGATGGCCCACAGGATGGCTCACGAAGGTCACGCGCGGCCCCCAATGGGGCCCCAGGAGAAGCTCAAGACGGCACCGAAACCCCACAACTGATCCCGAGAGGGCCCCAGGATGGCTGCAGGGTGCTTCCAGGAGGCCCTTTAGCGTGACTCGCCAAGGCCTGCGTGGTTGACTCCTGTCACGGTCGTCGTCGTCGGCGCCGTCACCGTCGCCCCCTTAGACGCTGCGCGTACCTCCACCAGCGCTGTCTGAGTGGGTTATGCCTCTCGGCATGCACCGAATTTCCTGGCATTTTGCTAGGCTGCACATGCCTGAGCTTCCCTGGATGCCCTCAGCCCGTCAAGATTCCCCCGCAGCCCCGCTGCTGCTTGGTGAGTGGGCCGGCCAGCCTGCGGCGCGTTCAGTAGCTAATTAGGCCGTTGCCGTGTCCCTGAACGCTTCTGAGTCCGCCTGCGCTATCGCTAGTGGACGCGACCGAGCAAAGTAATTCCACCAGCCCATCCAGAAACGATGCACAGACGAGTTGCCCTGATCAGTGATGTGGAGGAGTGGAGTAAACGGCTGGGTAACTCATCGTATCCCGGCAGGGGGAGTAGTGACAGGGTTGGGCGAGGAGCAGGAGGATATAGGAGGAGGAGGATTAGGCGGTTGACGATGCGGAGGAGGAGGAGGGCGAGCAGAAAGGCCTGAGGCCTGTTGGATGCCTGTCGGAGTCTCTTCGGATGTCTTTCGGGAGCTGGGTGGAGGCGTCTTGGGGCTCACTTGCACGTCTCGGGGGCCTCTTGGGGCGTCGTGGGTGTTTTTTTTTTTTTGCGGGGGGGGGCCTCGTTGGGGTCTCTTGGGGACCTCTTGGGGGCATCTCCGTAGTTTGTGTTGGCTAAAGATGTCCACGCAGGAGGTTCCTTGGCCCGCGCGCCGGGAAGGATCCGCTGGATTGCGGCAGGCGCAATGGCGGGTGGACAACGTGGGCATCAAAGGGGCAGACCGTGGGGATGCGTTCGCGGGGGGAAATGCAACCTCGCATGGCGAAAATGGTGTCGAGGGTGCAGCACAGCAGCTTCCAGGCAGTCCCAGACGTTCAAGCATGTGCTCGAAGGCCCCGCAAAAGGGAGAGCGCGGCAGTCACAAATACATTGGACGCCATGCGCGACGAACTCTGAGCAGCGATGGCATCGAGGGTGTATATTCGCAACATGGAAGCCGACGTGCCCCAGAAGTTGATATCGACAAGTTCGACACGTGGGCGCAGGTCTGCAAGGACATGTCGGTATATTATTCGACGGAGCACACGCAAGCTTAATATGATCAGCGTCATGCCCGCAGCCAGAAACCACGTTGCAAGCCGCGGGCGAATCAGCTCACCAACGCGGCCAAAACGCGCGAGCAGGCCGACAAGACGATCATCACGACAAAGCAGGCAGTGGAACGCTGGCAACAGCAGTTGGCGAAATCAACAGAAGCGCTGTCGAATCAATAGACGGCAGCCCACGTAGCAGCAGCAATGGGGCAACTGTTCAAGGTGCAGGGGGTCCAGGAGCGAATCGTCTTCTTCAGCGCTTTGCAGAAGCACTGCGAGGGTGGGCATCGACGGAAGCGCATCCACACCCAAGATGCGCGCGTCGGCCTTCAAGATCCTGGGTGAGGCGTTCGGGATCTCGACGGCCCCTGTTCCTACCAGTCATGGCCCTGCGCGTGGCTGATGGGGGGAACCAAAATGTGGTGGAGGAGCGGCAGCAGCAGCTTCCGAGGACGCGCGCATGGGGCCCGAGCTTGCCAAAAAAGATGGTCAATGCCTCAAAGCAGGTCAAGACCAAACTACCGCTGCGGAGGAGCAACGTCCGAGATGGGACGAGTTTTTCACCACCTTCAAGGAGGGCTCAACCAAGCGTCATCAGCACGGGTAGCAACGGGGCTGAGAAGAGCATTTACGGCAATACCACCATTTTGGACCTTCAGCGTTTCTGGCTGGAGAGCCACGAAGAAGATCTGCGAGGAGGCGCAGGGGCGCCGCCGTGTCGCGCAGCGCAGGGGCGTCGTCTCACGCAAGAAGTGTGGGAATTCTATGCGTAGAGCATGCGTCGGCAGGGGTGCCAGCCAGGGGGGTCTGGGGCAGCCCGGGCCGAAGGCCCTGATGGGGGAACGGGGGGGCGGGGGGGGATTCGTCGGCGGGCGCCGCGCTGGCGGCGCCGAAGGACGAGGGCATTACCTACGCGCGCGGGCAGGAAAAGCAGGACATCTCCTGGAGCCAGTCCAGGTCGAGCGACAGCGGCGCGGCTCGGCGCGCGCAGCGGGCGGGTAAAAGTATCGGTTCACGGGTGGGCGGCAGTCGGCGTGACCTACATGGGGCCGCAATGAGAGCGCGCCATGATGTCCGCGCGCGCTTGGGGGCATCGCGGGCCATCGCGGGCGGCCCGAAGTGGTGGCGGAGCTGCAGTGCCTCAGGATGGCGAAGGCGTTCGCCGCGGCGCCGCGGGCGGCGCGCGCGGGGCGCGCAGGCGCGCGCGCCTCCAGCGCCATTGACCACATCATCGCAGGCGACAGCGTCCGGCAGCAGGTGGCGCAGATCGAGGCGGAGTAGCGGCCGCCAGCACCGCGCAAACAAGTGGGCCCCAGCCTTTGGAAGGCAGTGAAAGAGATGAGGGGGCGGATCCTGGAGTCGCCGAAGTCCAATCCAGAGTTGCTCTCTCGGCGCGCGCCGAAGCCGCTCGTCGATCAGGGGATGGCCAACGAGGAGCGGCGGCAGCCCATGATGGTTCTGGAGCAGGTGGCGTTCGCGATCAGGGCAGGCATTGGAAGTGGCGCGACCGGCGCGCAGGCAGGGTCGCGTCGCCGGCGTGGAGAGCGCAACCCGCTGAGGTCGGCGGCGCGACCGGCCGTGGGCGGCAGGCGCAGCGGCGCGGTGGAGGTGTCTGGTGAGATCCTCGACTGCGGAGCACTGGCGCACGAGGCAGCAGCAGGCCACGTGATGCGAAAAGCTTCACAGGGAGCACCCGCGCAGGATGATAGACTTGGACGAGGAGGGCCAGGGTACGCATGACAGGCGACGAATGTGCTCGCGGCACAAGAAAGTTCTAGGCCCCGCGCGCATCGGGAAGCACGCCAGGAGCTTCGCGGCTGGGCGGCGGCGAAGACAATGCAGAGCGACAACGAGCCAACCCGCGAGAGGCGCAGGGCGCGGGCAGGGAAGTTGGAGGCGGCATCGGCAGGCGCCCCAGGTGGTCTACACAGGCCCATCAGGCCGGTCCCGGCGAGGAGACGGGGGCGCGCGGGGGCGGAAAAGCAGGCGGCAAATCCGCTCGGGAAGCGGGCTCCGCCCTGAAGGGGCGCCGCGCGGCGCGGAGGACGGACGGCCCAATCCAGACGATGCCAAGGGCGCGACCGTCGGGAGAAAGGGAAGCGTTACCTGAGACCGGCGAGCAGGGCGCGGCCAAGCCCGAGGAGGTGGCGAGGGCCGCATGGGAAAATACACGGGTAGGAGTCGATGGATGGCGCCCGCCCCTGCTGGCTGGCGCGTCGGACGAGGCGCGCGCCGAGCTTCTGCGGATGCTGCGCGCGGTGGAGAAGACGCTGATCTGGCCAGGGCAGATTGTCGCGGCGCTGTTTTCCCCACCCCCGAGGCCTTCATTTCGGATCGGGCGATTGGGTTGGCGCCGACTAGGTGAGCGCGTGACAGATGATGCGGGGGCCGCGCATGATAGAACGGGCAAAGAAAGAAAAGCCAGAAGCAGCAAGGGACGCAGCGTCGGACGTCCTACTAATTTAGGATGTGGGCGGCCCAGATAGCAAGGGCCCGCTGGTTGGGGCCACGATCGCGGCGGCGCTGGACCTGGCCGAGGCCTTCGAGAAGGTGGGTCCGCGCGTCCTGCGGGGGGCGGGCACCGAGCTCAGAATTCCAAGCGGTGGCCCTCGAAATGGTACGCCTCAAACTTCGATGGCGAGGGGGCTGGTGGTGGGGGGTCCATTTCCAATCCCGCGAGGACGATGGGGGCGATCATCGCAGGATTTTCGGTGAGTTCCCTGATGTTTGTGATCCAGTATCGTGCGTAGCCTTGTGGCGGAGCACCCTCTTGTCAACTAGAGGATGTGCGTGGGCGACCTGTGCATCAGAATGTGGGGGCAGCAAAAGGAGCTCGCGGAAAGCATCGGCAAGGCGATCGGCTCGAGTTTCCCAGGGTTCGGCGAGTTGGGCCTGAAGTTCTCCGTCGGGAAGGTCGGGCAGCCCTGCCAGGCACGAAGTGGTTCAAACGAGAAGTCGCGCGAGCATGGGCGGGAGGGAACTGCCGATGGCACGCCTGTGCGCATGCCTGGGGGTCGACAGCGCGGCGAGTGGGTCGGCGGCGAAGGGATGGCGGGGGCTCGCGCTACCCTGCGCGATACTAGCTGCACCGACCAAGCGCTTGCAAACGTGATTCTACTGCGTCGAGCGCGCAAAACCTTGGCACCGCAGCGCCGCACCACGCCGCATGGACAATCATCGGCCTACCCCGCCAGCACGCCCGCCCGCGCGTCGCGCGCAGTGCGCCGCTTCTCCAGTCACGAAGGGTTATATCAACATGTGATCGACTGAAAAATACACGGTGACGACTGCGCCGACCGAAGTGCTCGTAGTTTACCCGCGTGAGGTCGTGCGAAAAGGCGATTTTGCTCCTATGTATTGTGCCACGTTGGTGGCTCGCGTAAGTCACCGCGTAATGTCGCTATGCCATCCCAAGTAATACCAGTTGATTTTCGTTGTCAACGTTATTGTCTGCCCATAGAGATTCCAGGGCATTTCGTCCGGATTGCACCCGTGGCGAAGCGAGGGAGGGGAAATGGATCGAATTTTTTGTCCTCTCTGGCGGATCCTCGCGGATCGGTGAACTCAGGCGGCGTCGGGCCGTTCTTTGTTGCTTCTTCCTTGTCCTACCTCCATCCCCCCCTCCGTCCCCCATTCCCCTGCCCTCTTCGTCTCTTTCTTCTCCCACAAGACGCGGAGGACGAGGAGGACGAGGACGTCGACGGTGTTGACCCGCGAACGCGACACGGACAACGACGATGATGACGGTGGCGGCGACGACGATACGACGGCGGCGACGAAGATACGACGGCCGAAGCGGTGGCAGCAACGATGACGATGACGACAACGGCGGCAGCGACGACCTGCGGCGACGACCGGCGGCTGTGCCGCGCGAGGCCGGCGGTGAGCAGCCATCGGGAGATGTCCAGCAGATGCCCGCGAATATGCAGGCGCCCCGCCGCTCCCCGGGGCCCCGTCGTGGCCGGGCGCCTGGAGAATCAGTCGGGGTCCGCCAAGGAGGGGGTGATGATCGACCTCGATCCTCCCCTCAGCTCGATCATCCTCCCTGGACCTGATTTTCGATATTCGATCCTTCCTCCGAGGGTCATACTTCAGACAAGAAGGAGGAACCAGGAGGAGGAGGAGGAGGAACTGCAGGATGGAGAAGCAGGAACGAGGGGGAGGAGGAGGTCCTCCAAGAGACCCCTGACGAGATCATCCAGATATCCTCTGTTTGGATACTCGATCATCGATATTCGTTTCTCGATCTCTCCAGAAGGTCTTTCATGATAAGTTTAGACTTTCGTTATCCGATCATGCTGAACGCACAAAGGCGCCAGATAGGGATAGTAGGTTTGGCTGTATTTCGAATAGTGGAGACCGCCGGCGAACAACGCTAAGTTGGTGATTCCATGTTTGTTTCAAAGGCATGCCTTTGCCACACCAGGGGTACAGGAGGGCCTGAGATTGCGCCCGCGGCTCTTGCCTGCGTAATTCGCCATCATCGTCGCCGAATTATACGAAGTCTTCCAAGCAGATCCTCGTTCTCGGCATTCGTCACCCGGTCCACAGTTCTCCCAGAACGTCTCCTGGGAGAAATCTCGATCTTCGATATACGATCTTCTTCCTCCCAAGGTCATCATCCACAAGAACTTGGGTCAGAAGAGAAAGGATGATGATGCCGATGATGATGATGCTGATGCTGATGATGGTGGTGATGATGATGGTGGTGATGGTGGTGGTGGTGATGACAAGGCTGAGGATTTGGATGAGGATGAGGATGCTGCTGCTGCTGCTGCTGCTGATGATGATGATAATGATGATGATGATGATGATGATGATGATGATGATGATGATGATGATGATGATGATGATGACATGATGATGCGGATCAGGGTGAGAATGATGTTCATGACGATGGTGGTGGTGATGATTGCGATTATGATAATGATGATAATGATGATGCTGATGATGTTACTGATGCTGATGATGATGATGATGATGATGATGATGACTGCGAGGTCGATGATGGTCATGATGATGATGGTGATGTTGATGATGATTATGATGCTGATGATTATGATAACTATGACGCTGATGGTTATCATGACCATGTTGACGATGACGATGCTGATGCTGATGCTGATGATGATGATGATGATGATGCCGATGCTGATGATGATGGCGATGACGATGCTGATGATACTGATGATGATGATGATGACGATGATGCTGATGACGGTGATGGTGGTGATGCTGCTGAGGATGAGTATGAGGATGAGGATTCTGTTGATGCTGGTGACGATGATGCTGATGATGATGATGAATCTGATGCTGCTGCTGGTGGTGATGATGATGATGATGATGACATGATGATGCGGATCAGGGTGAGAATGATGTTCATGACGATGGTGGTGGTGATGATTGCGATTATGATAATGATGATAATGATGATGATGATGTTACTGATGCTGCTGATGATGATGATGATGATGATGACTGCGAGGTCGATGATGGTCATGATGATGATGGTGATGGTGATGGTGATGTTGATGATGATTATGATGCTGATGATTATGATAACTATGACGCTGATGGTTATCATGACCATGTTGACGATGATGATGCTGATGCTGATGATGATGATGATGCCGATGCTAATGATGATGGCGATGACGATGCTGATGATACTGATGATGATGATGATGATGATGACGATGATGCTGATGACGGTGATGGTGGTGATGCTGCTGAGGATGAGTATGAGGATGAGGATTCTGTTGATGCTGGTGACGATGATGCTGATGATGATGATGATGATGATGATGATGAATATGATGCTGCTGCAGGTGATGATGATGATGATGATTGTGATGATGATAATGATGATGACGACTAAGATGAAGATGAATATGAAGATGAGGGTGAGGATCAGGATGAGGAGCAGGATGAGGATCAGGATGAGGAGAATGAGGAGGAGGAGGAGGAGGAACATTTAGAGGAGGAAGAGGAAGATTACTGATTGATGATGTGAAGAAGGAGGAAGAGGAAGGAGCCGCAGGAGGCGCAGGAGAAGGGATAAGGGAGGGCCCAGGAGGCCCATCTGATTCTCCCTGATCCACGGGCCATCCCCAGGAGAGCGCCCCCCCCCAAGACGAGGACATCATCCAGAAGATCATGGGCCAGATGCAGAGCGGCCAGCTGCCCGCCCCGCAGCCGGGCCAGACGGCGCACGGCCAGATCGTGGAGGCTTGGCCTCGGCCAGCCGTCGCCACCGCGCCGCCGCCACCGCGGTGGCGTCGCCGATTTTCGGAGGTCTCTAAAGTTCAGTATCGCTTTTCAGGCGATCGCAAGCATGCATCAAGGGGGCGTGGATTAGCGAACGGGTTCCGTTTCCATGGAGAATCCCGGATTTCCGCCACCGAGCGAGGCGGCACCGGCCGCATTTTGGGGAGGCACCTCCCCCGATCCATGGTTTTGGCGACCGCGCGCCAGATCCATGGATCGCTAATCCATGTTTGCGCGCCCCCGAGTTTAAACGATCACCATCCCCATCTCCATCCCCATCCCGGTCCCCACCACCCCAGTTGGGGACTTACCCCTCGAAGATCGACGAGCCGAATTATATCCCAATATCGGGGGGGTATCGACCAGTGGGGCCCAGGCCAACCCCGTGGGGAGAAGGATCGGTTAAGCGCTGTTCAAAAGTGATCGACGCAGAAGAACGGTATCGTCTGCACCGATATTGTAGTGGCCTCCGGCCAAATGTCGCCGATCCGAGGCGCTTCCGTTGCTGCCGGAAGCGCACGACGGCGGCCATGATCGGCGACGACGGCGAGCGGTCAGGATGATGATGATTAGGAATGGAGACAACGGAGGAGGAGGAGGAGCGGAGGAGGAGGATCATGATGAGGTGGAAGGGGGTGGGGGGGAAGGGCAAGAGCGGCAGGATGCTGAGGATGAGGAGGAGCAGGAGGAAACGGGAAAGGAAGAGGGGGAGGGGGAGAAGGAGGAGCATGGCGAGGATGAGGAGATGTTCGGCGGTTGTTGGAAAACCTCTTTGGGGCCAGGTGTTGGCCTTCTTTGGGTTGCGCGCTCTCTGAAAAGCTGTGTGCTAGAGCTGTTTGCGTCGCGTTTTTTTTTTTACGGAGCCTTGTGCACCGCCGGTCTCTGCTGGGAATCCGGTGGTGTCTTCTGGGGCTTTCGCGCGGTCCTCTGCGGGCCCTTTTACGAGATCATGGATGTGAATGACACCGAAGACGGGAGAAGATGTGAAAGCGTGGAAGAACCTTTTGTTTGCCGCGCTTGTGTTCAGACGCAAGCGTTGTGGAAGCATTGGGGCCGGTTTTGGGCTTCTCGGGGGTGGGTCTCGGAGGCAGCGTGGACGCTTCTAGACGGCGTCTTGGACGCAATTTTTGAGACTCCTGCAGGCTGGTCGGGGGCTTAAGGATGGGTTTAACGCTGCTCAAAAGTGTTCGACGCAGAAGAACGGGATTGTCTGCACCGACATTTGCGCGCAAGCTTCTCGCGTAAGGTCGCGCGCAAGCGCCTTTGTTGTCAACGTAGCGTGCCACGCTGGCGGTCCGCGTTAGCCCCGACGTAATGTCGCAAAGTCATCTTGCGCACGACTCGATAATTTTCGCCGCTCACGGGCCTTCAATTTGTTTTCTGAGGTCTCCGATTTCGGAGATCACCAGACGTTTTCGGTGCATGCCAGCGCGCGTCGATTTCCGAAGCGTCCGAACTCTTTCCCAAGGATTACGAATGTTGTCAGAGGATGCCGCAGGGTCTTCGGTCGCCGTTGATTATCGGGGGTCTCCAGAGGTTTTCGGCGATTTTCGTATGGTTTCGACGTCATTTGTTGGATGCGGCAACGGCGTCAGTCATCGTCGTCGGTTGTCGTTATCGGCTGCGTCGGTCGTCGTCGTCGCCATCGTCGTCGCCGTCGTCGTCGTCCCCGCCGCCGACGCCGCTGTCGCCGTTGCCTTCGTCGTCGCCGTCGCCATCGCCGTCGACGCCGATGTCGCTGTCGCTGTCGCCGTCCTGTCACCGTCGTCGTCGTCGTCGTCGTCGTCGTCGTCGTCGTCGTCGTCGTCGTCGTCCCCCCAAGCATTTTGGCGTCGCGTTCTCTACACCCGACAATTTTTCAGATTTCGGGCTCCAAGGCCTCCGCGAATTGATCTGGCTCGGGAGGTGCCGCAGAAAAACGTGGGGTCTAGGGTTTCCCGCCATGTTCACTCACGGTGCCGCAAATCTTTGCGCGATGTCCGTTGTCGGGGTTCGTCCACGGTCGGTGTCGGTCGCGCTGGTCGTCGGTCTCCGCCGCCGTCCTCGTCCTGTTCGTCGTCGTCGTCGTCGGGCGGCGATGGGTCGGTCGGTCCGCTTTCGTCGTCGTCGTTGTCGCCCTCGGCGGCCAGCGGTCGGGCGGTCGTTCGGCGATCGGTCAGTCGTTGCTGTACACTGCCCGAGGATCCCCGAACATCTCCGCACATTTTCGAAGACTTGAAGGTTTCGGATGGGTGCCGGATGATTGGGGAGGCTCTTTGAGGTTCTGGGAATCTCCCAGGAGTCGTCGTCTCCGTCATCATCGGTCGTAGTCACCGGCGCCGTCGGTCGTAGTCGTTTGTCTTCGTCAGTCGTCTTCGGCTGGGCGTCGTGGTCGTCGTTGGTCGTCGTCGTCGTCGTCGTCGATGTTTGACTGTCAACGGATCCCTTCAGTCGTCATCGGCCGCCAACGTCTTCGTGGAAGATCGAGGATGTATGGCACAGTGTTGTTTTGATGTGTGTGTGTGTGTGTGCTGAAGGAGGGGACGATGACAGTATGTCCGTTCGCATTTCTGTAGTGTAATATCTAGTTCTGTCTGAGTGCTTTCGGTCGATGGAAGGATGGGAAGGAAGTGGATGGGGGGAGGACGGGAAGCACGAGCACCCATCACAGAGAAACCAGTAGTGATGAACATCTGGCAGCTCTAATGACCGCAAGCTGCCATGTGTGGAATCGGAGGCCGCTGCCTCGGACGCCCCTCGCCCTCCGCGCGGGGGGGGGGGGGGAGCACAAACCCTAGGAAGGCAAGGAGCCGCCGCCTGATGTCGACGACGACGATCGTCGACGGCGGCCGGGGAGGCAGGACAAATGGAGCAAAGGGGGGAAGGGGAGGGGGGACGGAGAGCGGGAACGGAACGGTCGCCCCCGAGGGCGTGGGGCCGCCAGTGGGAGGAGGTTTGCGGCTGGCGCCAATTGGCTGCCAGCTACGGCGCGATGGAGCGGACACCTCTTCTTTTTCAGACTGGAAGGGTTGGAAGGAAGAGGACCATAAGGAGAATGTCCTCCTCCTCCTCCTCTTCCGTTGCCATCTTGGTTCAAGTGTGATCAGGGGAGATCGCGCGCGAGCGGGCAGCCCATTCTCGGGCTATCTCGGGTGTCGTGCCCGAGCGGACATCCCATGTCTTTTTCGCATTCCCAGTCTCCCTCGCATCAGTTTGTTGCGCTCTGGCTTCTGCGGCGGAAGCGATGAAGACACGCATCAAGGATTTCCTGGTGAAGATGGACACCATGAGTAGTTCCTTTACGCCGCAGCACGCCAGCATCGACACCTCCATTGGCGAGGCCCCGACCATCAAGAGCCAACTCCACGCCCAGGCCGAGCAGAATGCTGCTCTCACCGTGCGGCTTGGTGCTCTCGAGTCGAACGGGGTAGATCGCTTCCTTGGCCGAGGGCAGCGCTCACGCCAAGTTTCAGGCTCTCGAAGCGAAGGTCGCCCTCCCGACCAGTACCTTCTTCCTCCGGCGCCAGCAGTATCGCCTCTGTCTCGGCCAATGGTCACAAACGAGTTTGCATTGACATGAATTGCGTGCTCATCGGCAGGCACGGGGGCCCACTGAACGCCACCCCCAGAGATCGGTGAACGATCTGGGTCAGCGGTTTTGTTTCCACCATGTTCAGTGCCACGCTCGAGGAGCGCGGCAAGGGATTGCTGGGCCTGATCCCGTTTTGCCAGTCCGACGGGGCTACGGTTCGAGGCTACAACGTGGATAAGTCCTACAGCAGCAAGTTCATCAGCGAGAAGGCCGCCTCAGCCTTCGTGGACCATTACCGCCAGGCGGGCATCCAGTTCCAGGGCGTCGCCACAAACTCCACCATCGCCCTGCGCGTGCGATGCCACGCTCCGACCGAAATCCGCGCCAAGAACAAGTACATCGGGTGCTTGCGGCGAGCCATGTCAGTCGAGATGGAGCGAGCTGGAAAGTGGCAAGCCGACATCAGTCTTGGGTCCACTGATTCCATGGGTATCTTCTACCCCAAGCAGGGCAATTTTATGTACATGCGATTCGAGGTCATCGCTTCCGAGGTCAACCAATTCGAGTGCAGGGCCAACGGCGACATCCTCGACGCGTTTGACATCGACACGGGCGCTGCTGCGGCCCTGATATGAGTTTACCCCGTCTGAACCGAGTTCTAGCTATGTCGCCGTCGCTTCCCCTCCGCCTCGTCCTGGGCAGCATCAAGATGTGAAGGGGGCGATCACGGATTGCAGCTCTGACGGCGAGAGCACATTTTCTTCGCCTTCTTCGTCCTGTAAGTATTTGTGCACGTCTTTGCCTTCTGGTGCTTGCCCTTTTGCTGACAGGCCCTTTTACCTTGCCCAGGTTTTTGTTGGGTACTGTTTCGTGGAATGTGCAGACCCGCTTTGGTTCCGCATCGTCGCCGACCCAGCCGATTGCCAACGCGATGTCGAAACTTCAGAAGGTGATCTCGAAGCGTGCCACCATTGTTCTCCAGGAAACACGGAACTTATAATGACCTTCAGTATTTCAAGAGGGAAATAGAGGGTCTGCACGCCTATTGCATGCTCTTCCCTCGCGGCATCAAAAGGTGGAAGTATTCTGCTCCCCAATTCCCGATCCGCCTCTCTCCTTAGCGGTGTTCGGCATCGCTTCGCAGTGGCCAAGTCCATGAGCTTTTCGTGCGAGGTCAGCATGGCACTGTCCAGGTGCTCAGCGTTCACCTCGACCCTTCTCTTCATGTACCTGCTTGCTGTCGCGCTCTGCGTTTCATTGAGGCTCGCTCGTGTGCACCGACGGTGACCACGTCGTTTCTAGTTGCACACGTGTGGGAGGGAAAACTACGTTTCATGCACATGGGCTCGCCAGATTATTCGCTGATCCCTTTCCTGGGCATACCGACGTCACGCAAGCAGCATGCACGCACCGACGTACGCATACCATCGACACTGAGCGCTCCGTTAAATCCATCGCACGTCTTGACAGGATCTGCACCGCACCGCCACGTTTAGTGTTGCCCTAATCGACCTGCAGGCTAACTCTTTCCCTTCGCGGCTGTGTGTGATCTACGCTGGCTATATGATCATGTTCCCGTGTGTCTTGTGCCCTTTCCCCATTCGGCTTCGGGGCCTCCTCGGATTGTTTCCTGGGCGTGCAGACACTCATCGTTTTCATGGACGATCGTGCACGTTCTCGGGATAGCCCCTCCCATCTCTACAGATCCAGCGCTGGAGGCGCTCGACTCTAAAGGGCGCGACCCTTGCTGCCGCCAAAATTCCCGGCCTCGAGTCTCGCGAGGCCGAGCTGAAAAGCTTTCGCGAGCGCCGGCAGCCCACAGAGCCATGCAGAACGGCCCCCTTCTCGCATCCAGCGCGCGCTCAGAGCCTACCTGTAGCTGGCCCGCTCCATAGATGGGAACGACTTGTGCTTGACAGACATGGGCGGTTTTTACCGGTGGTTTGATCGGCGCTCTTCCGAAAACGCCCAGAGCACCCGCACGTGCGCCCTAGCAAAGGTTTCCTTCCAATCAGCGTTTGCACGAATACCTCTCGGCCTGGTCTGGCTCCAATCGACGAGTCTTGCCCGCTGGGGCTACCGACCCGCAGGGGAACGCATCTCGGATCCGAATCGCCTCGCAGATCGGCTAGCTGAACATCGGGGGCAGGCTCGCAGTTTGGAAGAAGGCTGTCCTGAGGCGCGTGAGCAGCATAGGCCATGCGTTGTTCCAGTTCCTGGGCATATTATTTGGGAGATATGCGAGGGGGAGTTTTGTGATCGAACCCCATGATTCGAGATTTTGGCGCGGGCCCCGACGGTATTCTCCTCCTCCCCCTTCCCCCCGCTTACTTCCAGGGTGAACGTACGACGACGATCCCAATCGGGATCAGTAGGAGGAGCGCGAGGAGCAAAGGCTGCGATGAGGACTGCACGAATTACGATGAGAAATTAAGCAAAGGAGAAGCATCGGCAACCGCAGCAAAGGAGAAGCATAGGATGGGAGAAGGAATGGAACGAGTATCCAGAGGGTTCGACGGGGTCTGATGACGTGGAGGACCCGCAGCAAAAAGGTTACATCGGTTTTGGGGGGCGTTTGGAAGCCACACGGGACCACAACTATCTAAATCCAGGCGCGCATGGGGAATACAACAGGAGGAGGAGGAGGAGGAGGAGGAGGAGGAGGAGGAGGAGGAGGACGAAGAGGAGAAGGCTCTCAGACTCTCAGACATGAAACCTGGATGTCCAGGCTGCGCCACTCTGGGCGGGCCCTCGCTCCGCGGGACCTTCCGTTGCGACGGGCCGGCGTGCCCACCAGCAGCGCCACGGCTCCACCCCCTGGCCACTCCAGGCCCGGGGTAGAGCCCCCAGCTCTCCAGCCGAGTCCAGCCGTGGCGACGCCACAACCGAAAAACAGAGGCCAGGCCCCCAGGGGCCAGCCCCGCGCCCGCAGGCCGGGAGGGGCACCACGGCTCGGTTTCGCAGCCCATCCAGGCCGCGAAGCCGAGCCCCCAGCACTCCGAGCCGAGTCCGACCGTGGCGACTCCAGAACCCGCGGACCCCAGAAACGAAGCCTCAGCAGCGAGGCGAAAAAAACAAACTACGGCCCTCACGGCTCATCGTCGGACTCCCGGCCGCTCTACGCCGCGCGCGCCCGCCTTCGCAGCAGGACCATCGCGGCGAGGTCATCGGCCAGCGCGTCGGCGCACGTGCCGGTCGAACAGAGCCCGTGCGCAGCCTGCAGAACGACGAGCCCATTTTAAAGCCTCCTGCAGGCCGGCCCGCTCTCTGGCGCCCATCCCGGAGAGATCGAACTCCTCCATGACGAGCTGCACTACCTTCTCCAGCGCTGTAGCCTCGGTATCTTTGCCCGAGGCGCCCGGCCAAGCCCGCACCGTCATGTCCTCTGGGCCTTCCACAGCAGCTGGGTGGCCCCCGTGCCGAGCCCTCCCCCTCGCTGCCGTCGACGTCGGCCCAGCGCTTCGTACCTGAGCGCGCTGCATAGCCCCATTCAGCCTTGCAGCATGCAGAAGAAGCGCTCGAACATGGAGTGTTTGCCGCGCCGCGCCCTTCTGTACTGCCGGTGGTCCCCCCGCCTTCGCTTGACGAAGACGGCTTCTCCAGCGGCTCGAAGAGCTCGAAAACCTGCTCGTGCTCCCAGCCCGCCTCGAAGTCCTCGCACTCGGTGAAGTCGTAGTACTCCGCCTGGCGGAGGAGGAGGAGGAGGAGGAGGAGGAGGAGGAGGAGGAGGAGGCGGAGGAACAGGAGGAGGAAGACAAGTAGGAGAAGGAGGAGGAGGAGGAGGAGGAGGAGGAGGGAGGAGGAGGAGGAGGAGGGAGGAGGAGGAGGAGGAGGAGGAGGAGGAGGAGGAGGAGGAGGAGGAGGAGCAGCAGGAGGAGGAGGAGGAGGAGAAGGAGGAGGAGGAGGAGGCAGGAGGAGGGAGAGGATGAAGAGGAGGGGAAGAGGAGGAGGAGAAGGAAGAAGAGGAAGAAGAGGAATAGAAGGACGAGGATCAGGAGGAGGAGAAGGAGGACTCGGACGAGCACGGGGACGCGCAGGACGAGGTGGAGGGAGTCGCGAACGAGGATGACGCGGCACCCGATACAGCTTCAGCAGCAGCACCAGCACGAGGAGTTGAGGATGCCGATGACCGGGAGACGACGAGGACGACAAGGGCGAGGACCGGGACGAGGGCACGGCGTGCCGCCCAGGCTCAGCCCGGCCAGCAGCCGCAGGTCATCGAGATTCCGATGCCGCAGGGCGGCCAGGAGCCCTGTGGCCTCGGCCGCCGCCCGGCAGGCTGTCGCGCTCCTGCGGTCCCCAGGAGGCTCGGGCAGACGGCAGCGATCGAGCTGGTAGAGACGGGGGCTTCGGTCTGCCCACCGCCCCGTCTGCCAGCGATGAGAGGGTCGAGATTCTGACCCTTTCAGCAGCCCGATCGAGGATCCGCCGACCACCAACGGACCCCACGACGTCCGACGACCTCGGGAGCCTGACAACGGGGGCCAATTCAAACGGGGTCAGCCAGAGCTCCGGATCTTGCAGGATCCTGCAAAGCCAGGATTGCACTGACCTCAGCTAGCGCGCATGATATTGCAGAATGTTGCAGAAAGTTGCAAAGCCTGACTGACCCTGGTTTGCATTGACCAGGGTGACCCGGGTCAGTAGATCCCCGAACGAAGGGTCACAACATTTTTCGTCGGCGTCGCCGGCGGGCGTGGGCGAGGTGGTCGCTAACGGCAGGACAAGCTGTGTGCGGGCGCCAGAGCGTGTGGAAGAGAAGAGGGCAGCTGCGGGGAAGGATGAACATGAGGATGAGGATGAGGATGAGAATGATGATGAGGATGAGGATGAGGATGAACATGATGATGAGGAAGAGGAGGATGAGGATGAGGATAATGATGAGGATTAGGATGAGGATGAGGATGAGGATGAGGAGGATGATGATGATGCTGATGCTGATGCTGATGCTGATGCTGATGCTGATGCTGATTATGATGATGATGATGATGATGATGATGATGATGATGATGATGATGATGATGATGATGATGATGATGATGATGATGATGATGATGATGATGATGATGATGATGATGATGATGATGATGATGATGATGATGATGATGATGATGATGATGATGATGATGATGATGATGATGATGATGATGATGATGATGATGATGATGATGATCATCATGATGCTGTTGCTGATGATGATAATGAGGAGGAGGAGGAGGAGGAGGAGGAGAAGGAGCAGGAGGAGGATGAGGCGGGAAGGACCCAATCGCCGAGAGTCGGCGAGTGAGCAACGCGCTGGCGGCCTCAGGCTCCGAAGATGGTGTGGAACAAGAGGCATGACAGCATCAGGAGCAGGGCGTCAAAGTAGAAGTCGGCCAGGCGCGATCTTTGGTCGCAGCACGCCAGACGCTGAAGTAGTGGCCATTTGAGGCTCAGGAAGGGCTTTGGTTTTTGGGCCGTGCGTCTGGTCTGTGGCGTTGGACCTATTCGTGGCCGAGGCACGCTGTGACCGAGCCGCGCGGGTCCCCGAGGCCCCCCCCAGCGTTGCGAGGATACTTGCGCTTCGCGCGTCGCGGTCTGGGTCAGACGGTTGGCCCTCGCCGATCAACGATTCGGGCAATTCGTTGGGCGGCGTTGGGCGGCAGGGGCAGGGTTCGCAGTTTGTCGAACACGCAGCGAAGTCCTGCATCGATGCTTGGTGGGGGTAGAGGGTTCGGATGTCGTCAGCACCTACCTTTTCCAAGGGGGTGGCACGTGGGCGCGAGAGGTCGAAGATAGCCGCGCATCGCGGCGCGCGACGCGCGAAGTTAGGTGACCCAGGGTCCCCAGGAGGATCGGGCGGACGGCAACTGTCGGGGTCCCTCAAACGGAGTGGTGGCCAAAGCCGTGTGTTGAGTCTGAGTCACCGCGCGGCTTTCAGACTCGGGTCTTTCTTCCCAGATGCCTTGGGTGATTGGGGCCTCCAGGGTCCCAGCACTGGACGGTTCGTGCGGTGAGGGAGGAGGAGGAGGAGGAGGAGGAGGAGGAGGAGGAGGAGGAGGAGGAGGGGAAGGAGGAAGTGGGAGGTTCGCCCCAAGAGAAGGAAGATGGAGAGCCCTGACCGACAGAGTCGCCACCAGATCTCAGGTCTCAGGGGGGGGGGGGGATGCCGCGGGCGCGGGCGGAGCCCACCGATGCTATGCCATAGAGAAGACAAGGAGTGAGGGAGGGAGGAGCAGGAGGATGAGGAGGAGGGCTCGAGCTCAGCGGTGTTTCGTTGTGGTTTCGTTTCGCTGCAAAGGCAGAACGAAGACGCAACGGAGGACACCGAACACAAGACGAACACGAAAAATACTGTTTCGCTCGAGCCCTGATGGTGAGGAGGGCAGGCCAGGGTAGACCCGGAATTTCCTCTCTCAGTCTACGTCATCACGCGTCCTTCCAGGTACTCCTTCCCGCGGAGGGAAGCGCACCTCGTGAATGACCAGCGCCTGGTGGGCCTGCCACTCAGGCGAGGCCAGTCTTGCAGTCCACCGTCGGCATTTCTGGCTCAGAGAAGTTTGGGCCGGACGAGAGGGGGGACTGGGAAAGGGGGGGGTGAGAGGTTTTCTATGTCTTCGGGGAAGGCGTAGGAAACTGTTCAAAGGCCCGGGTACTTCCGAGCCTTCTGAGAAGGCCCGCCCCTTCTCACACTTCCCCCCCGGGCTCGCCGCCGAAGTGTGGAAGAATGAGGAGTAGCGGGGAGGGGCGGAGGAGGAGGAGGACGAGGAGGAGGACGAGGAGGAAGACGATGAGGAGACAGAGAAGAAGGAAGCGTGGATTTTCGATGTTTCTTTTAGTTTTGATGCCTCTCTCGGCTTCAGGTGCATCTGTGTGGTGTTTCACACCCGAGCAGTCTAACAAAAATGTTCCCAGGAGATCTCGCGTTGGTCCGGGGGGGTCACACGGCGGAGGATGCAGAGACGGAGGAGCAGGAGCAGGATTGAGCAGGAAGAGGACGATCGGCGGCGAGCTTGGGGGAAGTGAGAAGGGACGGGCCTTCTCAGAAGGCTCGGAAGTCATCGGGCCTTCTGAGAAGTTTCTGAAGCCTGACCTGAAGAAAGAAAACCTCTCAGAGTAGGGAAGGGCTCATGAGAAGCCCCGCCGCCTTCTGAGAAGTCTCTCTCCTTCTCACTTCCCCCCCGACGCGCCGCCAAGACGAGGAAGATCGGGGGGAGGATGCTCAAGCGAGGAGGCGCAGCTGGTCCTCGCCCCCCTGTTTCATGTGCTCCCCCTGGCCCGCGCACCCTCATCGTCAACCCACCCCTCCCGCTTCCCCCTCTCACTTCCCCCCCAGGCTCGCCGCCGATCGCCCTCCTCCCGCCCAGTCCTGCTCCTGATCATCCTCTTCGGTACCACTTCCTCCTTTCCTCTATATCTCAGTCCCGTCATCCTGCGAGGGGAGAATGCATGACGAGCGGGTTGCGAGCGGGTGAATTGGGCGACGGAGAGAGGCAGGGATGGAGAACGGGAGAAGAAATGAGATATACATAGTTGTATAGAGAGAGGGAGATAGACTAAGTGAGGAAAGGGTGGGTAGCGTTGGAAGGGAAGATAGGAAATTAGCAGAGAAACCAGCGTTTGCGTTTCAGAGCGGGGTCAGACGTCGTTTGATGTTGCGCGGCAGCTCTTCATCCAGCTGGACCTCCGACCGTATCCGCCACGGGTCGGGGGGGTTGCTTTGGGAGGAGATACCACGAACCCCCCTTGCCGTAGGAGCGCAAGTGACATGGGCACGGAGCCAAGCATGGATTGTTGTTGGCCTCGAAGCTTTGAAGGCCACATCTGCGTGCTGGTGCTTGTTTCGCAGGAGAGCAGGGGTGCCAACACGATGGCGCCCCCGATGCACACCAGCCGATGCGCCACGGCGCAGTGCGGCGGCGCAGTATTGCTGTGTGGGATGTGTTTGACGGACCGTCACGTCTTCGTGTGCCTGTCCGTTCTCCTCTCGGTTGCTTCCGCCGAGCCCACCCCGAGGAGGAGGGAGAGGAGGAGGGAGAGGAGGAGGGAGAGGAGGAGGGAGAGGAGGAGGGAGAGGAGGAGGGAGAGGAGGAGGGAGAGGAGGAGGGAGAGGAGGAGGGAGAGGAGTACATGCGAGGACATGTCGCCCGAGGAGTACATGCGGAGAATCGTTGGGGCCATGAACATCAGTGGTGTTTCGCCATCGCTTCTCTGCTTCCATCCCCCGACGCCTCTTTCCACGGAGCCGTCGCTTTGGGTCTCTCCGGGCCTTGCATGAGCACTCTTGAAATGGGGCCTCTTCCTCCTGACCACCTGTCACCCGGCGTCGGTTTCGGATTTTGCTCCTGGCTAGAACATTATGCGGCCAGTGCAGCCCTACCCGCTCAGTTGCGGACGGGGAGGAGGAAGAAGAAGAGGGTGACTGCAGCAAGCGCAGTCCACGGATGCTTCAATGCACATCGTAACCATACGTTGGTCCGTCTTTCCCCAACTGGCAGGCGCCCAATGGATTGTGAAGGCCCCATTGGCTTGCCGTATGTTGAGGACCTGGATGGGCTGGATCGGAGATAGGTCTGTGGCGCTGCAACACGCCCATTGCCCTGACGCGAACCTTGCATGCTCAGATGATGGCAGCGCGCGGACCCAAGTCACTTTATCCGTGAAAAATTGCGGAGCCTGGTCCGTGTTGGACTTGTGCGTTCAGAATTGCACGCGTGTGGAACCCAAATTATTCGTAACTTTTCGTGTTTGGAACACGTGCTCGTGAAGCTCACCATTTTGCACTTGCTCTGAGTGTGCCCGCCCCCGCTGACCAATATACCGTGTGCTGAGCTTTTTGGGGTTTTAAAGGCCACGGAATGTGGAAGCCAACGAGTTCATTGACCACGGTGTCGGGAACCCAATTATGACATCGGCCCGATCCCGGATTCCCCCGGCCATGCGTTTGTGCGCGTGTGTGTGATAATTTCCAACGGCGGGAAGCCGATGTCGGCAGCGGCCAGTTCCTTAAATGCAAGTGCGACCCCTCAATTGCATGCGTTGTTCGCAAATGTGTTACCTCTGCGGAGAGATGGTAACACTTTGAGCCGACCGCGTATTGAGCCTCGCATGTCCTGGCGAAGGAGAAGGACGAGTTGGAGACGAGGTAGAGGAGGAGGAGGAGGAGGAGGAGGAGGAGGAGGAGGAGGACGAGGGGGAGGACTGCCCGCGGCTCGAGGATCGATGCTCGTGCATCCTGGCGTGGCCGATCCGATCTGATTCCGATTGCGTGCTGGTGCGACAAGATTCGGCGTTTCTGCGACCCGACTCGATTCATCGGATCGGTGTTGAAAGCTGTTACTACTTCCCTCTTGCCTCCTCCCCCCTCCTCCCGTCGAACATCGCGAGACCCTGAAAGCAGTGCTAGCACTTGCTTGGGATCGAGTCCCAGGCGATGGAACTGCGCGTTTCGCCCATGTAGGGGCTCTTCGGGCCATAGTGCCTGCGGTGCAGCATCGAATGAGCATTGTCGACGATGGGGCAAGTGCTTCGAGGGGCGCGTCATGGGGGGGGCGATCAATGGGGGGCAGCGGCTGCAGAAAGGGGCCCTCTGTGGCCCTCTGGGGCCTTGGCATCGCTCGGACGTGTGCATGTTTCTTCCGGCGAGGACCATCGAGGAGCATCCTTGATCATTGGCGAGAGAACCGCGCACGAAACCTAAAAAAGCACAGGGAATGGACGTCCGAGCGATGGACAGGGGCCTCTATGGCCCGAAAATGGCACCCCTCGCCCCCACACATCTATCGCGGCCCCATTGATTCGCGCCCAGGTGCTCCTCGCCTTCGTGCATCCTCCTACTCCCCCTCCTCTCCGGCCATGAAGGGAAGGGGCCGAAAGGAATGGGTCCAAGACCCCCGGGGCGCTCCCCAGGACAAGTTTCCCCATCCCGTGTTTCCGAGGAGGAAAGGGCGTTGAGACCGTGACTTATGACGCGGAGGAGGAGAAGGAGGAGGAAGACGATGAGGACCACTACACGTAGCTGGTTTGCCCGAGAGTTTGTAGTGTTCTTGGTTCCGTACCAGCGAAGAAGGTTCGAACACTCGGAGCACGCGCGGGCCCGCGATGGACCCAGGTGCCTGTTTGGTGACCTGGGGCGACCACGCCCAAACCACGGACGATCATATCACGACTTGGTACGGGCGATCGGATACAATCCACGCGCGTGTGCCTCCATAGCTCGAGTTACCGATATTTTTCACGAGCTTCCCTCGTGTGATGTGTGTGCATTGGCAGGCACAGAGAAGCGGAACACAGGCAAGCAATGGGAGGAAGGCGAGGCAGTTGAGGAACATTGGACGTTGGAACGCGGGGATAGCCAGGGCAAGTACACGAATGCAGATCGAAGTCAGTCGTTTCGTTTCGCAAACAGTTTGTGAAGCCAATGCTAGTTGTAGCGCGTCAAGTATGCGGGCGCGCAACAACTGTTATACTAGCCAGCAGTGGTCATCCGTCAGCTTCTTCAGGCCACTATGTCAAGGGTGGACAATAGCGTGTGCGAGCACATGCTTTCGGATTTTTTGAGGTATGCTTATAAGCATGTCGGTGCGTTCGTTGACCGCGTCGTAGTACGAGAACGCGCCCTCGTCGCAAATGGTAAATGCTTTACATCACGGATATCAACAAGAAGATTGCAGCTGCAAGTTGTTTTCAGCGCCAAAAATCACAATCCGATGCAAGTGTCCATTGCGTTGATTTCGCCAGTGGCACAGCCCGCTCGAGAACCGCGTCCGGAACGAAAGGGCCACAACAAACGCCGGAAGCTATTTGATTGCACGGAAAGACGGAGAGAGAAAGAGAGAGAGAGAGAGAGAGAGTGAGGGAGGGAGAGAGAGAGAGAGAGAGAGAGAAGCAGAAAACTGTTTGACATAGTCTGAAGCATGCGTTCAGAGCAGTGATGTAAATGGGGTCAATCTGATATGCTTGGAAGTACTGAGTACACTTCTACTCGAAACTTTCCTTGCCAGCTCCGTCGATGCACCGCGGATACATCAGCACGCTGTAGAGCTTCGACGGCCTTTGCATCTCAGGCGCGATATACGGGAAGCACGACATGAAGGACATTGGCACGAGCAGCTGGACAGAGCATGCAAGCATATGATATGTCAATGTTCGGACGAAAGCTCAACACAATGCAAATGGATACTCGGAATCGATTGGTGTCAGCGTTTGAAAACAGAAGTCAAATCACGGGGTGGATGTCAAGTGCACCTGTAGCCGCGCTACATCGCGGGAGAGAAAGTAAGCCGCGACAGCGACGGTGCGCAGCGCTTCGTGGGCAAGCGGAAAACACCATCTCAACGAGCAGCGGGGGCGCAGTTGCCCACGTCCCAGGGCGCATGTCCGGCGCGCGCGTGCATGCGTGAGGAGGTAAAGGAGGACAAGAGAAACCGGCTCACTTTTGACCCCGCGAATGCCATGCACGCTGCAGCGGGGTACTTGGGCAATATTGAAGCAGCGTGGTGGATTTTTTTTGCGCGCGCGGCTTGAGCGGGGCGCCCCATGGGGATGACCTCGCCGTGCCAGTTTCACACGATAGGTTAGTCCTCGGCGACCGACTGCAGGGGGGGGCACAGGCCGCGACGCTCAGAAGCAGGACCGCGCCCGCGCTTCCTTTCGTAGCCCGTCTGCCGATCGAAAGGCGAAGACCAAGGCGCATTCACGTCGCCCGGCGCGCTGTCCTGGCAGGGCGAAGCCCGCAGGGGGGCGAAAAGTTGGATTGCGACGGGGGGGCGGTCATCATGGCGATGTGCGCTTTCCTTGGGAGGGGGGGGGGGGGGGGGGCAGCGCTCCGGCGCAGGGCGCCTAAGTGGTAGCCGCTAGTCTGGATAGGGAGGGTTGAAGGGGGGGGGAGTGCGATGGGGGTCCCGCCCGCGCCATTATCTAGCATGCATCGCGCTGGCATCGGCCGCCCGACGCGGCGCCGCGACGCGGCCAGTGCGTTGTTCTCGCGGAATCACCCCGGCATGCCTGACATCGCCCGCCGCGTATATGATGAGCAGCGCGGCTCGAAGTTCTCTGAGGATGGCATCGCGAATGGCCTGTTTACGAACGGATGCCCACCTGGGGATCATTGGCTCCTCCAAGGTGGATATTTTCCTGGGGGCCTGCGATCTCGGGGGTGCGTGATCGAGCTGCGGGAAGTCGAGGCAATCGCGCCGCGGGGGCACGGGGGCCGCAGACGCGCGTTAAGGGTGCACGACAGGTCGCGCCCACACTCTTCGCCCGGTTTCCGTCGAGGGGGGGGGGGGGTCGAGCAAAGTCAGCGGGGGTGCCAAGCGGTCAACGACGCAGAGAATATGGGCACGGCAGGCATTGGGGCACCGCAAACATTGCCGAGCGGGGGAACGCATGCTATCCACGAGACACTGGGGCACATTGGACAAGCTCGACCATCATGCAGAAATACCTCTACGAGGCACCGCCGAACATCATGCGCGATTTCAACGAGGGCTGCAGGCCGTGGCGTTTACATTGGCGCCAGCGATTTGCAGCGACGCGGGCGGCCCTCTTCCGTCGGGGCAACGTCTGGCGCGGCCGGGCGCCGCTGCGATGCGAGATCAGCCGCGTCGAGGGCCTGCCCGTCAACGCCGCTCTGAGCGGGGCTGAGGTTTTCGCCGGGCCCAACTGGTCATTGCTGACTGGAGACCTGCGGCCCGCGCAGAGGTCCGTCAGCACCGAGCGTCGCGCCATCCCTGGAGGTGCTGCTCGGCGCCCAGAGGAGCCAGGTCGCGTTGTCCACAAATCTGAGGATCAGATTCACCGCGTGTTCAAAGTGGTTTGCATATCCGTGGGGCCGCGCACTCGGGGGCTGAAGTGGTCGGGGCATCGTCGGTGGCAAGGGGGCGCGCGCGTGATGTATCCGCATGCTTTGGAATCGTGACAGGGGCTGGTGGCCCGTTCGAAAAGCGGGGTGGCGGGGGGCGCGCGTCGCGGCGCATCCGCGGGCGCGACAGTTTCAAGCAGACGTGGATTCACGTATTTAACGGGGTCCGGCGACGCAATGCTCGCTGCTGGTGCCTGCGCACTTCCAGTATAATTTTCATCCGCCCGAGTTTTTGCTACAGTTTGATCTCGACAAGCTCCGATCCGTTCCCCGCCGCTCGCGAAGCGGGCGCCAGTGCGGGTCAGGGCGCTGTCGACGGAGAGAACGAGCGCATTGCCTTAGGAGATGGCGGATACAAATGCTGAGCGCGATTAGGCGCGTAGCACTAATTCACGCCATGCCACGCGCGGCGCTGAGGATGGGGCGCGGGGGGGGGGGGGGGGGGCGTCGCAGGTGGGATCATCGCTACATCTGACAAGTGCATGTCCACTGCGGTCAACAACGGGGGGGGGGAGCAAGACAGCTCCACGACGCGAGATGGCAAGTTTCAAACGGAAGCACTGTCTGCAGAGAACGCGGTCTCGTCATAAGCACCAAGCTGATCGCGGCTAGCGTGCGAGTGTGAATCCGGGAACTCAGACGCATTGCTCAGGCGTTGTCGATCATGTATGCGAGCTCGGTCCTCGAGAGCTCCGCGCGCGCTATCCTGGGCCATCTGTCCCGCACGCTCACGTCGACAATATGAGGCTGGCTTCGCGTCGCGGAGAAGCGTTGCCGCCGCCTAAAGGGCCAGCCATGGTTCGCGACGCCGCGAGGCGCCAGCTCCTCGACAGCATCCGGCAATGCGAACGCAGCTCGCGAGGGCGGGGCAGAGGCAGACGACATGAGAGAGGACGACGAGGGCGACGGCGGCCTTCCGAGGGGGGGGGCGCAGCTTGGACGCGCGCGCCGCCATCGGCCAGCTCGGCGCTTGCATCGGGCGCGGGGCATCGGGCCGTCTCTACGGCCACGGCGCAGCGCAAGACTGAAACGTGCGAAGAGATCATCAACCCACGCCAGAAACAGATCAATACTTTGCAAGGAGAAGCCGAACATGGACATATGGGGCGCCCGACATCCACGGCTTTCTCGCAGTTCTGAACGCGTTGACGAACTATTCCTTCGTTGACACGACGGGGCGCAGGCTGCGGTGCCCAGGAGTGCTCGAGCGAGTCCGTCTCGTTCCAGGTAAGGGGGCTCCGTAGAGCGCAGCTGACTGGGCGCTGGAGATGACGTGTCTTCCCACCTTCGACAAGCCTGGCGAGGTTGCCCACAACAGGCCCAAAGGCCCCCCGGTTCTTGCGCACTACATGGTAGGATGCCTGGCTTAAGAAAACAGATGAATTCCAGCGATTCCTCTTTTTTGAAGTTCGCCCCCAACCCCATCGAAATTTCGGGGTCACAATTCGAAGTTTGATCGGAGATGCTGTTGAAGTCTCTGACGCTGTATTGGGACTCTCTAGGGCAGTCTTCGTGTTCCCATCGGAAAAGAAGGCGGTCATCATTCTAGATCCCATGAGTTAACTTGTCCAGCATAGCTAGAAAGTGGGCGCGCGCCAGGAGGGGGCAAGAAGAGGGGACCTCGCCAAGCCTTTTCGAGCGCTCTGCCCTAAGATGACCCCAGGGTTCCGCAAAAGGCTCTCGAGGCGCCCCCCAGATGCCTTCAGACATTCCCGAGAGGCTCCCAGGAGGCACCAGGGGCCCCCTAACAGGCCCCGAGCAATTGCCTAAGACGCCGCCAAGAAGACCCCCAAAGGCACCCCAACAGACCATGGCAGTCATCCAGGAGACTTCTGACCCACAGCCCAGGCACGGCAATTTAGTCAAACAAGAAATTAGCACACTTCCTTGATTTTTCAAGTACGCTTACTCTTGCACAGCAGACCACACTTACGGCCCCCGTCAGCACCCAAGCAAAACCCCAGGAAGTCTTTGAGGGCCCCAAATCGTCGAACACCTTGAGGAAATTGCTGATGTTTGCGTTTCCGCATTCAACATTCTATACGCTTCCGAGATTCGCGCTGGGCTTTCAACAGAGTCCCTGGATGCAAGGAACGTCAACCATGATAGTCCGTGCGTGTGCCTACCCTGCCGAGCTAGACCTGAGCGCGCGCTCGAAGCGCGCGCGGTTCTAGTACCATGTGTGCGTCGCCCTTGGGGGGGCGACAGGCGCGCCGAACAAATTTCCAGCTTGGGCGTTGCATGGCCATGCCATTCGGGTAACGACATATCACAAGACGTTTGTATTACATGTTCGGGCCAGACGCGCGCTTCCAAGGAGGACGCATCGTACCAGTATGTCCTTTTGCTTCCCGCTGTCGTGCCTGAAAGGGGAGCGAAGACAGTCGCCTTTCGCGAGTCGCGATCGGTGCCAAACTGGTCGCTCCTCTCCACTGGGGCGGCGTCTGCGCGAAGGCGCGATAATACCCGCGCATCGCAGGGCGCGTTGCGCAAAGCTTGGCGACTTAGAAGGAAGGTCACCACCCACCAATCCGTCCCACCCCCCCGAAGGCTCCAATTCCCCCTCCATTCCCAGTCGGGGGGGGCTTCGGGGACCATTGAGAAAGCCACGCTAGGTCTTTCGGTTCGGTTGGAGTGGTCTAGTAGGTAATCCGCAGGTTTCTCCCCGTGACGTGCTGGCGAGGCGGCGGTGGCATGATGACCGCCAGCATCGGCCACGCGCTGGTGGCGTCGGCGGGCTCGCTGGCGCAGGCGGCGGCCCGGGGCACGTTCGAAGGCCCTTCGCCGATCGGGGCGGAGGAGGAGTGGATGAGGGGATGTGGTTGGAGATGTCAGGAGAGGGAGGACAGTGAGGAGAGGGAGGAGAGGGAGGAGAGGGAGGAGGAGGAGGAGAAGACGGAGAAGGAGGAGGAGGAGGCGGATCGAGGAGGAGGATCGAGGAGCGGAAAGGCGGAAGGAGCTGAAGAGATGGAAGGATGAGGGTATGGTGGGGGGCGGGGGACGCTGCTGCGCCTGGTGCGCGGGGGGCCTGTTTAGGCTTGGTGGAAATACCCAGTTTGGCCCAAACCAGGTAGGGGTTCGTCTGGGAGGATGACTCCTCCCGCCACGGGTCAGTGGCTGCCGTCGGTGAGCCTGGCCTTGGCAGCTTGCGGACACCTTGAGGCCATGTGTTTGTGTCGCAGGACGCCGCGTACTGGTCCAGCCCTGGCGATGCTGCCAGCGATGGTCTCGGCCGCGGGTATGGCGCATTGGTCGGTAGCTCCAGCGGCGATCAGGACTTGGGCGTAGTCACCGGTGCCCCAGCGGCCCATCAACCTGAGCACTCGGGAGGAGGTTGCCTCGTCCATGCAGGCATTGTCCCGTCCCATCGGATGAGGCGTTTCGCGGGTGATGGCCGGCGTTGAAGATATGCACAATCGCCGCGTCGTCCCCTAAACCTTTTGGTACTTCCTGTGCCTGGCAGACCACCAGAGCGATTTGGGCTCGCTGTTTTAGGGCGACTTGCTTGACCATTCTTGGCCAGGGCCGTACTGCAGTAGTTAACAGCGTGGACTGGGTGGGCGCTGGTGTAGACTCGGTCTGGTGATCGCGCACCAGCGGTTTCCCTTCGTGGACCAGTTCGGAGGAGTCCATCCCGTCGACCTGCCGTTAAATCAGTGCATTGTGCAGCTCGATGATGTGGGTCGCGGCCCGGGTCGCTGGGCGCAGTCGGGCTTCGCGTGGACGCTTGGTAGATGGCCTTTCTGCTTGTCACCGTGGTGTCTCTAGCTCAGCCTCTCTGGGAGATCGTGTCGAGCAGGCAGCCTCTCGTGTATGCGGGGCACTGTGGTGCCTTGCAGGAGCCCTAACCATCCTGGCAGGCGTAGGCGGGAACTCCCAGATGGGCGGCATTCGAGCACTGCGCGCTGCTGCCACAGCGGTGGGCGGTGACGTAGACACCGGATCCGCGGTCGCAGGCTCGGTCCTGACGACCCTGCCAACGGGGCGGTTTCTCCTGCGGTTGCAGCGCGGGCTGCGGCTGCGACTGCGGCCACGTGGTCGACCGCCGGCACACCTAGCGCGCAGCACGTGTAAGCGAACCGCGCGCCTCCATGGCCTGAGAGGCAGGTCCCGATCGCATTGATGGAGGCCGCGGACGGAGATTTCATCGGTTGATTTTGGACCAGCGTCGTCCGGAGATCTGCCGACGAGTCGTCAGGTCTGGGAGGCGCCTTGATCCATGATCATCTGCCGCAGTATCGTCGTAACCAATCCCCCATCGGTTTGTGTCCTAGGCGGCACTCGCCTGTGCGGACGCTGGTAGTGTAGCCAATTCAGTGGATGATGGCTGTTCCTGAGCAGAGGAGCATGACGCGCCAGCGGTGAGTGGCTTACCAAAGAAGCCAGCTCACAGCTTGCCCACCGCCCAAATGGACATACCCCGCGGCGCGGGTGAGTTTGTGCAGAACGGGCCGTAGGCTGGCGCTGATCGTGGTGGTGCTCTTGGCTGGGCCTTTGAGCCGCGCGCCGACCCTATTGGGTCTGGCCTGTCTGATTGTGCTGGGCTTGGACCCCGTGGTCGCGGTCGAAGCATGATGGGCGAAATTACTCGGGGTCCCGCGTTCAGCCCCTGCGCCCGCGATGGCTATGGCTACGAGGCACAGCCAGAAGGTACTGCTCTTGGCTCCCGCGTGGGCCTCTGAGACGAGAACTGCTTTGGGGCAGGAGGTTGCGCCGTCGTGGTCCACGCCGCCGTGCTGCCGTGGGCAGTTGTGGACACGTCGGTTTCCACCGTGCCTGCGCTCGCGGTTATGGCTGTGGCCGTCGCGAGGGTGAGCCAAGTGCGTGCAGTCACTTTGCGCTGGTGCCGCGCGGCGGTTGGTCAGCGTCGGCTTGGCCTTCCGCGCGGATCTGCCACGCAGCGTCGTCTTCATGCGTATCTTCCATGCAGGAGCCGCCGTCGGAGAGAGCGCGCTCCGTGGACGCTGGGGAGGGAGGGGCGGTTTCGACCTGGGGGGGCCGAGGTGCCTGGGGGTGGAGGGTCGAGCGGGGGGGGCCCTTCAAGGAGGTGGGTGGGCCCGAAGATGGGAAGGGCAGGCTCCTCCTCCTCCCCCTCCTCCTCCTCCTCCTCCTCCTCCTCCTCCTCCTCCTCCTCCTCCCCCTCCTCCTCCTCCTCCTCCTCCCCATCCTCCCCCTCCAAGTCCAAGCACTTTGTGCCAATTGCGACCGCTTGGGGAGCTCCTTAGGGTATCCTTACGGGCTCCTTTGAAACTCATCAGGGGCTCCTTGGCGGCTCCGTGCAGGCTCCTTGCCGGCTCCTCAGAGTTTCTAAAGCGGCACTTTGGAGGTCCTGAGGATTTATGAAGATTCTTTAAGGATCCCGAAGGATTCCTACAAGATTTCTGAAGGGTTCCAAAGGATCCCTGAGGATTTTTGAGGATTCCTGAAGGCAAGGATGTTTCCGGGATCCGGGAGGATTTCTCTGGATCCTTTTTGCATTCCTGAGAAATTTCTGTGGGATCCTGAAGGGTTCGTTCAGGATTCCTGAAGGTTTCCTGCGGGTTCCTCTTCCTGTGGGTGCGGTTATCTCCAGGCCCTGAGGGCGACGCTTCAAATGGAAGCGTTTCGTGCTCTCGGCGCTTCGGTCTGCCCCAGTGCACATGGGGAGGGAGAGCGGGGGCGAACGGGTCACTTTGCCCCGCGCGGCCGCCGCCGTGTCGTCCGTCCCCCGCTACCCCTCTGGCGGGCGCGGGGTACCCCAAACCACCGAGGGCGAAGCTTCCAATTAAAGCGTGTCGTGCCCATGGGGAGGGAGAGCGTGGCCGAACGAGTCACCTTGCCCTCCGCCGCCGCCGCCGCCGAGTCGTTCGGCCCCTGCCTCCTTTCCTGCGGGCGCGGGGCAAGTACCCCAAACCCCAGACGGCGACGCTTCCAATTGAAGCGTGTCGTGCCCTCGGGGGGCCCGGGGGGCCCGGGGGGCCCGGGGGGCCCCTGGACCTGGCCGAACGAGTCACTTTGCCCTCCGCCGTGTCGTTCGGCATCCGCCCCCGTCCTTGCGGGCGCGGGGTTCCCCAACGTCGCGAGGGCGACGCTTCCAATTGAAGCGTTTCGTGTCCGGGGGGGTTCGGGGGGCCTCTGAATCCATGGGGGGGGTAGAGGGTGGCAGAACGAGTCGCCTTGCCTTCAGCCGCCGCCGCCACCTTCCCCCCCCGCCATTGATAGGATGTATGTTCAAACAAGCACAGAAAGTCCTGACGTTCCGCGAATCCCCAGCAGCCCATCCAACCCCGATGGGTTTGTTGATCGAGGCCTCTCGGAAGTTATTTTCTGCTCTGCTCGGCTGGAGACTGTCAGAGGCTGTAAGAGCCACGTTCCACCTCCCAGGGTCTATTTGGGGCAGGGAGGAAGAGAAGGGGGATACACCATGCATGTAATGTCCCGCCCAGTCGAGCCGACCGTCACTTGCTTCAGCGCATGACCGATCGAAAGGACCCCGTGAGCGAGCAAGCGAGCACCATGCATTTAAGTGATGTCCCGCCCGCCCGACCCGACCCGCCCAGCTCGCTTCCTCGCGCGCTCGCCTGCTAGCGAGCAACCGAGCAAGCGACCACCATGAATTTCATGACCCGCCGCCCGACCCGACCCACCCGACTCGCGCTCTTTGGTTCGAGCGAGCGAGCAAGAGGACCCACTCCCTCCTTCTCACGCTCGCATGCTTGCTCCAGCTAGCGAGCGAGCGAACCAGCGAGCACCATTGACTTAATCACCCGCCCGCCCGACCCGAACCGCCCGACTCGCTCGCTCGCTCGCGCGCTTGCTCGAGCGGGCGGGCGAGCGAGCGAGCATGCGATCACCGTGCACTGAATCCCGTGCAGCTGCGGCATGCATAGAGAGCCAACCGCTCTTCCGCTTTCTGCTGTCTTGACGGTGGCGTCGGTAGGGCTTGCAGGTAAGGCTTGGTGGCCGCCTCGTCGTGTAGGGATGGCGACGCGAGGGCTCCAGGCGCCCCTGGCGGTGACCTTGCCGTGGGCTTTTCCGCCAGTTCAGTTTCTGGTGAGACGATGGGATCGGTCGGCGCTTGGTGGGTGGCACTTTTGGCGGGAGGCTCGGTCTTGAAGTGGTCCAAGCGATGGCAGGTCTGTGGGCATCATTTGTAGTGTTAGGTGGTGATGCGGCCGCTTTGGCGATCGCAGAATCACCTCTGGCGGATTTGTCTCACCCTGCCCGTTGCACTCCGCAGTGCTATTTGTGAAAAGGGAGGACCTTAGAGAGCTGCGTTCTCGCTGCGCTCTGGGGCCCGATGCCCGCGATGCGGTATTCAGGATTGGCGGGTGCGGCGTCAGTGCCCGTCAGTTCGTGCGTGACCTGGTTTGCCTCCGAAGCGTCTGGTTTGACGCGGATGACAATTTTTTATCCCCGCGGATTGCACCGCAGGTGTTGAGCCTGGAGGAGGCTGCTTGTTTTCCTGGAGTGGTCAGGTGGCCGCCTGGGTGCCGCACCGTGATGTAGTCGTTGGGTGGCGGCCCTTCTGGTCCATGGTAACTGACATCGGATTGGATGCCTCCCTGGCCCGACATGGGAAGGACCATTGGCACGCCTGCTGGTTTGATGCGGGATGTGGCCGTTGGCCTGCGTGTTTGTCGCGTTCGTGCCGCGTCGCCCATGGAGCTCGATGCGCTTCTGGATTTAGACGGTCCGGACATGGGAGATGAAGATGGCCGTGACGGCGTCCGTGGGGTCGTCATCCAGTTGTTTCCTCGCGCTGTCGCGTGTGCTTGTTCCATGGCGCTCGTGGGCCTTTTGTTGAGCCGTGCCCGCGCCTCCTGGAATTAGGTTTCTGTTGATTCGGGCGACGCCTGAGAAGTGGGTGGTGAACAGGTTTCCCAGTGCTGGCTTGGCAGCGGTAGCGTCTGCCTCGCAGATGGCGCCTGGAATCCAGGTGGCACTGTCGGCTGGGCGGACGGTAGCTTGAACAACATTGTGGACGCTGTTGCCTTCGGTGCGTGGCCCAGCTGGTAGATGGCCCGCTGATGTGCCCTGGCGTGGGGTTGGTCGCCTGAGCCTCTTGTTCGGAGGACATCTGCGATAGTCTCCTTCCCACGGAAATCTATGTTGATCGGCCCCAGGACTGTTAGTGCCAGGGGTTTGTCATGCCTGTGGATCTGCCGCAGGAGTCGGGTCACGTCTTCTAACGTGTGGAGCAATATGCATGTTGGGGCAGTCCGCGGTGCCGTTGCACTGGCAGGCGTAGGCGGACGACCCTGGTGGGTCGCGGCTAGACCCCGTCTTGTGCGTAAGGGAGTAATCCGTGTGTAGCTGATTTTGTTGTACGCACAGTTTCACCAGCTCGCCCCATTAGCTTGCTCTTGTCGGATCGGTGTTTCATGGTACTGGCACTTATGAGGGATGTCGTTGTATGCTGCGACTGTTCGGTCGGCGCCGCCACTGCTCTGGAGTGCGGCGATGCAGGCTGTTTTGCGACCGAGGTTAGTATTTTGTCGGTCTTTCAAGGTGGCCTAGTGGCTTGAGATGCTGTGGTGCAGAGGTCGCACGGCGATGACCTTTCGGAGCAGTGGCGCGCGCGGAAGACGGAGATGTGACACACTTCGGTCCCGTATGATTTGCACGATCATCGCCACTGGGCTTGGGGGCGCGGAAGTTTACGTGTTTTTTTTCCCTGGGCGCAAATGCTCTCGAGCTGAGAAGGGAGTGAGGGAGAGAGGAGGGAGGATGGAGGGGGGCCCACAGGGTGACCGCCCCCCCCCTTTGCTCCCGGTCCGCAGGGTTGAACCCGCTGGAGGACATGGTGAGGAAGATCATGTCTGGCCAAGGTGTTTCGCTCGGAGTCGGACATCCCCGCTCGGTCCCTCGGTTTCTCGTCCGCGTCGCTCGCGCGCGTCCCGGCTGGGGGAGCGCAGGAGGGCGGTGCCTGGCAGGGGGCAAGGGCACAGGCCGGAAGCTTGCATCCGCCCGCCGATGCGAGACGCTCTCCGCCACCCAGGACAGCGCATCGGCCCCCGGCCTACGTACCTCCTGCTCCCTGATTCACAGCGGCGGAGGGCCAGTCGAGGCAGCGGCGGCCATCCTTGACTCTCGGCTTCTCTATGTTTGGACCTCCTCGATGCTCCCTGTCGCCACGGCTGGGCCTGCTCCGGAAGAGCTGGCCAGGGTGGACCCCAGGAAGGATCCTCACGGACTTGAGCCTAGCGTGAGAGCCGCCGTTGTCTCAACTGATCCTCGTGCGATTCGTCGGGGTACTCGTAACGGGGGTCAGCGCCAACGGGGTCAGCCAATCCCATCCGAGGTTCTCTGACTGACATGGGTTTGAGAACCACGCGGCGCCGACCGGTCCCCATTTTCCTTGGGCCACGCATGGCATCTCAGGCCCATTTGCCCACCCCACCAGATGGGGATAGGTCCCGCGAGCCCCGAAAGGAACGGCCCATAACACGTATGTGTGTAAGCCATGCATATTTGTATGTATGTACGTATGTATGCATGTATGCATGTATGCATGTATGCATGTATGCACGTTTGTGTATGTGTATGTATGCAAGTATGTGTGCATGCATGCATGCGTGCATGTTTGTATGTGTGTATGTGCGTAATGTATGTTTGTATGTATATGTGTATGTATGTATGTATGTATGCATGCATGCATGTATGTATGTATGTATGTATGTATGTATGTATGTATGTGTGTATGTGTGTATGTGTGTGTATGTGTGTATGTATGTATATGTGTATGTATGTATGTATGTATGGATGGATGGATGGATGGATGGATGGATGGATGGATGGATGGATGTATGTATGTATGTATGTGTATAGTAATGTTTATTGTGTGTATGCATGTATGTATGTATGTATGTATGTATGTATGTATGTATGTATGTATGTATGTATGTATGTGTGTATGTGAATATGTGTGTACATATGCATGTATGTGTGTTTGAAAATGCATATACGTGTATGTATGCCTGTTTGTATGAATGTATATATGCATGCATACATGCATGCATGCATGTTTGTATACACGTATGTATGCATGTATGTGTGTATGAATGTATGCATGTGTGCATGTATGTATGGTTGTATGGTTGTATGTATGCATGTATGTATATGTGCCTGTAAGAAAGCAGGTATATATGGATGTATGTATGTATGTACGTATGTCGATAAACATGTATGGATAATTATATGTATGTGTCTTTTGCCTTCCCCTTCCCTCTCGGCGCGCACCCTCTTCGTCCTCCTCGGCTCCCCCTCGCTTCCGGCTCGGGCGCCGCGGGCAGCGGCGACCGTTTAGACTGCCAAGCAGTGTCTCCTAGTGCCTTTCTGTCTGCTGTCTGCTACAGGCTTTTTTACCCTGGCCGTGGGGCAGGTGGTCAGGGCAACGCTCGGCGTGGGCGTTTCTCTCCTCTTCCTCCCCTCCCTCTGCCCTTTCGCCCCCCTCCGCCTCGTCTCTCCTCCTCCTCCGCGCCGCGGCGTGGCCAGGGCAAAATTCTCGGGCCGCTTGTTTCTGGCGCTGGCTTTTTGCAGACAGACATAGATGAAGTGCCGCGCCGCCTCCGTGTCAAGTAAACGGGCGAGCGTGCCCCGGCTGGGTAGACGTCACCCGAATTTGCTGCCAGGTGTTGTCTTGCACACTTGTCGTAAATCGTGGATTTAAACAGTGACCGTCCCTGCCACCGAGCTGTGGAGTTTCAGCATCTTTAATTTGAGCGCCGTGCTCAGCAACCAATCTGTCCATACCGGGATGCCGATCTTCATTGCATGCTGGTCTGTTCTCGGCTGTGGAACCCCAGGCCGCTCGATTTGAGCGTGCAGTCTCCCCCTGTTCCTCCCTTTCTCCTCCCTCCGTCTTCCGCCTCCTCCCCCTCTGCACTGTTCCTTGGTGGCGTTGCTGTGGCACGCCCTCCTGCAGCCATGCACTCGCCGGCCGTCCTCTACGCAAGCTTGGCGTCTGGAAGAACTGCTCGCTGGTCGCGAGCCTCGCTAATGCGTGTTGCCTCGGTGTGTGGCTGAGGCAGCGTGCCGCGGCTCCGTTTGGGGGGCTCGGCATGTGCGGGAGATCCTCTGGTCCGTGACGGCGGAATCCAGGCCTCGCCAGCCGTTCTCTGCGCTGCGCAGGCTTGGCGCGTGGACGAGTTGTTCGCTGTTGCGGGAGATCCCATGCTCCGTGACGGCGGGCTCCAGGCCTCCCCATTTAAGGTGCACGGCACCATCCTTCCGCTGGCCAGCCGTAGTTCGAGGTGGATGTGGTCTCGTTGTTGTCCCTGCCCCCTCCCTCCTTCCCTTCCCCCTGTTCCCCCCGCTTCGGAGCGCATGCCAGTATTGCACGCTTTGTTTCATATGTTGCACGATGCTTGGTTAGAAGTGTCGTGAAGTGTTGTGTTGTTGGTTTGCTGCCCTGCCGGCGGCGGTACCGGGGCGTAAGCTCCGGGCTGGGAGGAGAGGCCGTCCCCGTCGGGTCGGGTGGGCCTTGGTCGGCGCTTGGGCGCGAACTTGGGGCGCAGGTTGGATCGGTTTGCTCGCCATTGCGGCTTTCGGCCACCCGCCGGTTCCTCGGGGAGCCCAGCACATCTTTGGTCCAGCACAAGCTCATTTAAAATGCGAATGCTTCTGGGAGGAAGCGCCCTGTACCTCCTCTGCCTCCCCATCCGCCCTCTCCTTCCCGTTCCTCCTCCGTCCTCCTCCTTCCCCTCGTGATGCACCGGCGTCACGTCCTCGACAACTGTCGGCATAGATGGCCAGGTGTCTTTGTTTGGTTATCGCAATTCGTCTTGGAGCCATTCACGTCGCTTGCGCATCGAGCTGTATGGAAAGCCACAGCAGGCGCGAGTTGAGCTCCCTCGTTTCTTTTGTATTTGGGCTATATTCCCTTCTTCCTCCTCCTCCGCCTCTCCTTCCTCTCTTCCTTCCCTCCTCTAGTGAACGCGGTGGGGTAACAGAGCCGCGCTTCTGTTCCCCGATCCGTGCTGGAAGGACCGAGCACGGGCAACACCGGCGTAGTTCCGATCGTTCTGCACACGCCAGCACCGCGAAGGTGCGTTTGGCGTTCCCGTTTGGCCGGACACTGGAGATGTCTCAGCTTAGATTTGGTTTGCAATCCAGTGTGGATGACACGAGAGGTCATCGGTTCTGTCCGCTTCATCCCCTCAGCTTTCCTCCTCCTCCTTCCAAAATTGCGCAGGCAAAACATGTATGTATGTATGTATGTATGTATGTATGTATGTGTGTATGTATGTGTGTATGTATGTATGTATGTATCTATGTATGTATGCCTGTCTGTCGTTATGTATGTATGTATGTATGTATGTATGCATGTATGTTTGTATGTACGTACGTACGTATGTATGTATGTATGTATGTATGTCTATGTATGCCCACTTTATTAGATGTAAGTGTGCATGCATGTATGCGTTTATGCATGTATGTTTGCATGTATGCATGTCTTCATCTATGTATGTATGCATGTATGCATGTATACATGTACGCATGCATGCGCATGTATTTGTTTATGACTGTATGGTTGTATGTATGCATGTATGCATGCATGCATGTACACATGTACGCATGCATGTCTGTATGGATGTATGGATCTATGCATGTATGCATGTATGCATGCATGCCTGCATGCATCTAGGTATGTGTGAATGTATGCATGCATTATGGACGTATGTAGCTATGCCTGTATGTGTGTATGCATGCATGTATGCATTTATGTATATAGGTATGTATGTTTGTGTGACTGTATGTATGTGTGTGAACGTACATGTGTGTACACGTACACGCATGCGTGTGTATACATGTATATGCAGGTATGTTTGCATGCATGTATGCATGCATGTAGGTGTATATATGTACAGGTATGTATGTATGAACGGTGTATGTATGCATGCATGTATGTATGCATGTGTGTCTGTCTGTCTGTCTGTCTGTCTGTCTGTCTGTCTGCCTGCCTGCCTGTCTGTATGTGTGTATGTATGTATGTATGTATGTATGTATGTATGTATGTATGTATGTATGTATGTATACATGTATGTATTTAACCAGGGTTCCAGGTCCCCTTGGAGGGCCGGCCCCATCTCTCCATGGCGGGGCCGGGGCTCCAGGACCCCCCGTTCCCGGTCCAAGACGGTCTAGATGGCCTCCAAGACGGCCAAAGTGGCCCATGATGGCTTCAGAGATGCCTCCAAGACCGCTGAGATGGCCCTTCATTAAGAGAGCCCAAGATGGCCCTTAGCTGCACCCTACACGGCCCACTGTGGTGTCAAGATAGCTCTAGATAGACTCCGAGGCGGCCAAGACTCCCCCAAGACCTTCCTTGGGAAAGCCCGAAGAAGCTAAAATACCATACTTTCCGTTGGTTTTTGAAGGATCTTTATGTTTTTTTCCGGCCTGCCGACGGTCCAGATGGCCCAGGAGGCTCCCAAGATCGCCTCCAGAGCGCCCAAGAAGCCCCAAAGACGGTTCCAGGAGGGCCCCAAGATAGCCCAAGAGGGTTCAACACACCTGAGATTGCCTTCAAGACAGCCCCGTCCATGGCGGCATCGGGGCTTCAGGACCCCCCGTTCCCCGTCCAAGACGGCCTAGATGGCCTCCAAGGCGGCCAAAGTGGCCCATGATGGCTTCAGAGATGCCTCCAAGACTGCTAATATGCCCTTCATTAAGAGAGCCCAAGATGGCCCTTAGATGCACCCTACACGGCCCAATATGGGGTCAAGATAGCTCCCGATAGCCTCCGAGGCGGCCAAGACGCATCCAAGACCTCCGGGAAAGCCCGAATAAGCTAAAGTAATATATTTTCCGACGGTTTTTGAAGGATCTTTACGTTTTTTTTTCGGCCTGCCGACGGTCCAGATGGCCCAGGAGGCTCCCAAGATCGCCCCCAGACCGCCCAAGAGGCCTCCACGATAGCTCCGTGACGGCCCAAGAAGCCCCAAAGACGGCTCCAGGAGGGCCCCAAGGCGACCCAAGAGGATTCAAAACGCCTGAGATTGCCTCCATGACATCTCCGTCATGCCGGCACCCGGGCTCCAGGACTTCTTGTTCCCGGTCCAAGACGGCCTAGATGGCCTCCACGACGGCCAAGATGGCTCATGATGGCTTCAGAGATGCTTCCAAGATCGTTAAGATGGCCTCAAGAGAGCCCAAGATGCCCCAAGATGCACCCTAAACGGCCCAATATGGGTCAAGATAGCTCCAGATAGCCTCCGAGGCGGCCAAGACGCATCTAAGACGTCCCTTTGGGAAAGCCCGACTTTGAGAAAATCTTCGATCTCCCGTTGGTTTCTGAAGGATCTTCGCATTTGTGTTTTGTTCGGCCTGCCGACGGTCCAGACGGTCGAGATGGCCCAAGAGGTTCCCGAGATCGCCCCTGGAGCGCCCAAGAGGCCTCCACGATAGCCCCGTGACAGCCCAAGAAGCCCCAAAGACGGCTCCAGGAGGGCCCCGAGACGGCCAAAGAGGATTCAAAACGCTTGACATTCCCTCCAAGACATCCCCGTCCATGCCGGCACCGGGGCTCCAGGACCCCCCGTTCCCGGTCCACGACGGTCTAGATGGCCTCCAAGACGGCCAAGATGGCCAAGACCGCTAAGATGGCATCAAGAGAGCCCAATATGGGATCAAGATAGCTCCCGATAGCCTCCGAGGCGACCAAGACGCATCTAGGACATCCCTTTTGGAAAGCTTGAAGAAGCTAAACTCATAGATTTCCCGTTGGTTTTTGAAAGATCGTATGTTTTTTGTCGGCCTACCGACGGTCCAGATGGCTCAAGAGGCTCCCAAGATCGCCTCCAGAGCGCCCAAGAGGCTCCCAAGATCGCCTCCAGAACGCCTCCAAACCATCCTTTTTGGGAAAGCCCGAAGAAGCTGAATTCATAGATTTTCCGTTGATGTTCGAAGGATGTGTGCATGTGTTGTTCTACTTTCTTGCCCTATTCAAGGTCAATTTGGGATACGAGAGTTCCGTAGACACTGCTAGAACCTAAGCGCGCGCGAAGCGCACGCGTGGTTCGATCATGTATATATATATATATATGCAGATATGGCTTTGTTGTTTGTTTGTGTATGTATGAATGTACACATGTAATCTACATATGTATGAATGCATACGTGCATGCACGTCTACATATACATGTTTGTATATGTGTATACATGTGTATGCATGCATGCATGTATGTGTGTAGATGTATTGTTGCATGCATGTATGTATGAACGTAGGTCTGTATGCATGCACGTACGTACGTACGTTTGTATCTATCTATGTATGTATGCATGTACGAGAGCGCGCGTTTCGTGGGCGCTTGCCTTGGGAACATTCGGCGGCGCGCTTCGAACTGGGAGGGGGCGCCCCCCCCAACAGTCGGCGCCGTCGATCAGAACCATGGGGATTCCCCTCCCTCTGACCCCCCCCTCCCCCGCCCCCCCCCCCTTCTCCTTCCCAGGGGAGGGGAGTCCGAACCCCCCTCCCCGCGCCGGCGCCTGCGCTGGCGGCGGCCAGCAGCGCCGATGGCGTGGACGCAACAACGATGACCAGAGAGGACTCAGGGAGGGGAGGTGGGGGAGGTCCAAACCCCTCCCCCCCTGCGCCAGCGCCAGCGCCGGCGTTGGCGGCGGCCAGCCGCCAGCAGCGCTGACGACGGGGACGCAGCAACGATGACCAGAGAGGGCCAAGAGGCCGCAGAGGGGAAATACAAAGCGCCATATGGAGCCCGCGCCCCCCCAAAGCCACCGAGAGGACCTTAGGAAGGTCCAGGAGGCTTCACAAGTGCTCCTCAAATGCCTCCGAGACCCTTCTGACGAGACTTCAAGAGGCATCCATTATAACTTTGACCCAAAACCAAACACGGTGGCGGGAAGAGCCGAAAAGCCACACCACCACCACAACCACCACCACCACAACCACCAAAACCCACAAACACCACAACCACCACCATCACCACAAACCACTACATCCACCGCCACCAAAACGCCATCACCACCACCACAAACCAAAACAACCCACCACAACCACCACCACAAACCAGCGCAACCGTCACCACCACCGCCAGCACCACCACAAAAACTCACCACCACCAAAACCCACCACACCACCATCACAACCACCACCACCACCACCACCTACCACCCACCACCAGCACCAGCACCACAACCAGGAGCACCACCACCACCAACACCACAGGCCACCACCACCACGACAAACCACCACCCCACCACCACCACCACCACCGCTACCACTACTACCACCACCACCACGACCACCACTTCAACCCACCACCGCCACAAATCACCACAAAACCACCACCACAACAACCCACCACCACCACAACAACCACCACCGCTACCACTACCACCACAGTCTACCACACCGCCACCACCACCACCACGGCCGCCACAACCACCGCCACCACCGGCAGCATAATACACCACCACCATCACAAACCACCACACCACCACCACTAACCACCACATCACCACCAACACCACAACCGCCACTGCTACCACCTCACCACCAGAACAACCTACGACCGCCACCACCACCACCACCAGAACAACTTCACCACCACCACCACGTCCACCACCACCTCCACCAGCAGAACCATCCCCGCAACCCACAACCACCATCACCTCCACCACCACCATGGACTACCACGCCACGGCCACCACCATCACCGCCACCTCCACCACCAGCACCACAACCCACCACCACCATCACCGCCACCACCACAAATCACCACACCACCACCACCACCCACCACCACAACCACCACCACCACAACAAATCACCACACCACCACCACCGCAGCAACCACCACCGCCACCAACATCACAACAACCCACCACCACCACAACCACTACCACCGCCACAACCACCACGACAATCCACCACATCACCACCGCCACCACGGCCACCACCACAACCCACCACCACAACTACCACCACCACCACCACCACCGCGACAAACCACCACACCATCACCACCACCACCACCGCCACCACCAACACAGCCTGCCACCACCACCATTCAATAGCAACCACCACCAAGCACCACACCACCACCACCACCACCGCCACAATCACCACCACCACCACCCCGACAGCCCACCACCACCACCACCACCTCGGAAAGGCCCCAGGAGACGCCCAAGAGGCGCTGAGGGAGCTTCGCAAGTGCCGTTCAGAGGCTCCCGAGAGCCTTCCGACGAGAACCCAGGAGGCATCCAGTAGGATTCTCACCCAAAACCTAGGCACGGTGGCGGAGCGTCGTCGTCGTCGCAGTCATCGTCGTCGCCGTCGTCCTTGTCGACGCTCCCCGCCGCCGCAGCCAGCCGCCGCAGGCGCCGGCGCCGGCCCAGAAAAGGAAAACGTCGTCTTCATCGACGTCCCCCGCCGCCGCCGCCCCTTCAATCCAAGGGGGGGGGTCGGTTCCCCCCCTCCAAGCGACCACAGAATGCGCTCTTTCGTACGCGTGTATGTATGTATGTTCGTATGTACGTATTTATGTATGTGTGTCTGTCTGTCTGTCTGTCTGTCTGTATGTATGTATGTATGTATGTATGTATGTAGGTTTTTCTGTGCGTGCGTGTATGGCCGTATGTCTATACATGTATGGATGCGTGCATGCATGTGTTTGTGCATGTTTTATGTATGTATGCATGGATTGATGGATAGAAAGTCTGACGGATGGCTGTACGCAGCGAGGTGCATTATACAGAGAGCTACTCACATACCCATCAGAAGGGGAACCACAGTGGCCAATGCCATGCCAGTGGGGTGGGTATCGTTCAATCGACGCTCACCTTGTCCAAACATGGCGGAAGGAACAACCAAACCGTCTCCAGTTATATGCCAGCGCCTACTAAACAGTTTTGGGCGTATGCTTGATGAGGTATTTTTGTTTCCGAATGTTTTTGCAACTGCGCTATCTGAAAAAATGACTTCGCTTCTACGGGGTGCTCCCACCAGCTTGCGCACAATTCGCCCAGCAGCAAGCCTCTCTTGGACCACGGACGCGGTGCGCGCTCGTCCTCCGGTGCGAGTGAAGAAGTGATGGGGCGCCTCCTTGCACGGGTGGTTCGACATGTTGGTTGGCCTCGTGGAGCGCGAAATTTGCGGCCGCTCGTCGCAAGCCTCGCGGCTGCCGCCTATTTCCTGTTGCGGCAGCGTTTCTGCTTCCCGTCGTGGGCTCACGCCGTGTGCAAGGGAGAGCCCCCCTCTGTGGACGAGCGATCACGGCGCAGGCCGCTGCTGCCGTATCGCGTGCACAGTGGACGACCTCGGGCCGTCACGGGGGCCAGTGCGCCAGGCCGCCGTCGTCCTGTTGCGGAAGCGCGTCTGCTCCCCATCAGGGGGCCCCCCGTCTTGTGATAGGGAGAGACCCCCTGGCGGACAAGCGGTCCCGGCGCCAGGCTCCTGCCACGGCGGCGCGGGCTGTCGGGCCTGAGCTGGGCCGAGTCGCCTCAGCGGATCGGATCGGACTGGATCGCGGAGGGGGAGGAGAGGGGGAATTGAGAACGGGAGGTGCACCACCACTACCACCCCCACCACCACCACCACAACCACCACCACCACCACATGAGGGGGGTGCAGGATGAATTGATCTGCGGGATGCAGGTGTGCACGATGACCCGCGAGAGCGTTCGTAACGGTATGCTCCCCCACCACCCCCAGCGCCTCTGCCTCCACCTTCCACGTGGTGGTGGTGATGGTGGTGCGTTTCTTTTCCCCGCGGAAAGCTCCTCCAGGCGTGGCCGCGCACGGTGCGCAGCGAGGATCCACCCCTTCGCCGAGGTGGCGCCGCCCCGATGAGCGCCGCACCTCCGACGAGGGCCTACCCGAAGGCGGCGCCGCCGCCGTCGCCGCCGCCGCCGCCGCCAACGTCAACATTCCGAGGTCGATGCAATGTTTGCAATCTGGGTGCAGGCTTGGCACACAGTGTACAGGTGCCAGGCTGTAGTGGGGATGTGTGCCACCTGCTTGCATCCAGCATGCACCACGCCGACTCGGAGCCGATCACCGTGGAGGCAACTGCCAGACCCAACCAGGCAGGCTGGGCGCAGGAGTGTGACGTGAGATGTGTTGATCATGACAGGTAGCGGCAGATGCAAGATCTGCGACTCGGCCCTCGCAGCAGTGTGCGAAGGCATCTCTTGCAGCGTGGGCGGAGAGCAGGTCCATCTCCACGGCCTCGCAGGCCGGGCCCCTGTGCCGCGACACCGCGGATACTCGGCGTTTCTCCGCGTATCGACGGGATCATGCCCCATAATCGTGCCCCAGAATGCGACCGCGCATCCACGGGATCGTGCTCCAGGACACCGACCGACCGCGAGGGTGTGGATGTGGACATGCTCGCCGCCCGTGATTGTAGGGGCCCCTGGGGGCACCTGGCGCGGGCCTCGTCCTGGAGCCCATGTACGCCCTCTCTCTGACAGGGCCCCCGCGCGAACGCCCCCCTCCCCTCAGGGGAGCTCCACCTCGTGGTCGTCATTGAGGCGATTCCCGTCGGCCCAGGACCCTTCCGGGCACCAAAGGGCCCCCCCGGGGCTTCCGTGACCTGGAGCTGAACACCGAAAGTCACAGGGAAGTTGTAGCCAAAGAAGAGAGGAGGAGGAGGAGAGGGAGCGTGATGGATGTTTTTTCCTTGGGCGCCGCACTCGCAGCCCGAGAATCCGGCTGACTGGATCGGTCCAGATGTCTCATGGAGCGTGGAGCTGTCAGGCTTCCGTAGATTAGATCATCTCCCACGAGCCCTGACTTGGCGGAATGCTGTAGCTGCCGGTCTCAGTCGTGGTGGTCGTGGTCGTGGGATTGCCGCTGGGGTGACCTTGCTCCTGTACTCTGCTTGAGCTGCTCGACAGGCTTGGCTCAGACCCTGAGCGTTCATGACTGTCGCCATCGCGGTTACCGCCGTTTCGGTTTGGACGGTCATCGTCACCAATTGGCCGACCGCCTATTGTATTTGTATGACCTCGTGCTGCATCCTGGACACGCTCTCCTGGATCGTGTCCATCGTCTCGCCGAACTCCAACGAGCCGAGCATTCTCCTGATGTGCATGATCCCCTGGCAGATCTGTTGAATGACTTCCTCGACTAGTCCTCCTGACGCCACCTGAGATGACGTCGCATGCTCGACCATCCGCTCCACCGTCGACTGGATGCCCTCCAGCGCCTTCAGGCCCTCGGGGAACTCTTGGAGTTGCCACAGGACCACAGGAGCGCCTGCAGCACGGCGGTCAGCCCGTTCGAAGTATTGAGCGCGGCTGCTCCCTCCACGAACGCTCCGTCCTGTTGCAGGCTCTCCACGGCACACTGCGCGGAGTCTGCTGCCCTTCGAGCTGCTGCGGCGGCTGGCTCTGGAGCATCCGGTCTCTGACGGTTGCTCTGTCCGGCTGGCACCCACGCAAGACGAGCCCCGCACAGGGAGCGCCTGGATCCCGAGCCCCATTGGTTGCCGTAGAACCTTTTGTATACAAGCACGGCGGCGGATCGTGCATACGGGGCATTGGCCATGTGCGCGTTTTCGTGATCCCATGGCCCTGCTTCCAAGAGGAATGCGGTATCAACCTCCAGAGGATTCATCAGGCTCCGCACATCCCCACCCAGCCCATTCAGCCTCGATGCCCAGGCGCGTGCTCTTGATCAGAGAAGTGGGGGGCCATGCAGTGGAGCAAATGAGTTGGTGGCCGTTCTCTTTGGACAGAGGGGACCGAGGATCAGTAAACGGGGGCAACAGATAACGAGGGGATGCAGGGGGAAGGCAACATAGTTAAGAAGAGGAGGTGGAGGAGGAGAAAGGAGGGCAAGGAGGAGGAGGAGGAGGAGGTGGAGGAGAAGGACGAGGACGAAGAGGAGCAGGAGGAGGAGGAACACGCGGAGGAAGCAGAGGAGGAGGATGAGAAATATGATGTTGTGTTCGATGGGGATGATGGTGGTGATGATCATGATGATGATGATGGTGATGGTGATGGTGATGATCATGATGATGGTGATGATGATGATTTTATGGATGAAGCTGATGATGATGGTGATGATGATGGTGATGATGCTCATGATGCTTACGATGATGGTGATGATGAGGAGGAGGATCAGGGTCAGGATGATGGTGCTGTTTCTGGTGATGATGAGGCTGTGGATGCGGATGAGGATGATCATGTGGATGGTGATGTTGACGATGATGATGATGATGATGATGATGATGATGATGATGCTGATGCTGATGCTGATGCTGATGCTGATGATGATGAGTATGATACTGATGATGCTGATGACGATGCTTACGACGATGCTTACGACGATGGTCAAGGTGATGTTGATGCTGACAATGCTGATGATGATGGTGATGCTAATGATGTTGTTGATGAGTATGACGAACTTGTTGTTGTAATTGATCATGATAGCGATGTTGGTGATGACGATGATGCTGAAGACGATGATGAGTATGACGATGATGATGACGATGATGGTGACGATGATGCTGATGATGATGATGCTGATGATGATGATGATGATGATTATGATTATGATGCTGATAGTGATGCTGATGTTGCTGCTGGTGCTGATTATGATGATAATGATTGCTGGTGCTGCTGTCGCTGTGCATTATGACATGTGCTATGGTAATGATGATGCTGACGATGATAATGTTGCTGGAACGTACGATTATGATTATGGTGATGCTTGTGATGATGCTTATGATGACGATTTTGATGATGGTGATGATGATGATGTTAATGATGCTGATGAGGAGCCGCTGATGATGACGAGGAGAAGGAGGAAAATGAGGAGGCAGAGGGAGAGGGAGAGGATAAACAGGACGAGGACGACGAGGAGCAGGAGGGGGAAGAGGAGGACGAGGACGAGGAGGTCGACGAGGACGTGCTCCGCTCACTCCTCTTCTGCGGATGGCGCTGGAGGATTCTTTGGGCTGCGCGTCTGCCTGTGTTCACTCCGCCCTGGCGGGCAGCCCCTGTCTGCAGCCAGAGCACCCCCTCTCTCTTATCCGGGATTGCGATGTGAATGGTCTATGTAATGCGCTGCTTGTCGAAGCCCCCGAAGCTCGATCCCCCAGACGGTGTTTATGGAAATCTCTCCGCCTTGAAGAGGAGGAGGCGGAGGAGGAGGAGGTCCGTGCCTGACCATCTCATCAGTCCGCGCAGAGCGGAGCAGGACGTCGCCCTGTCCGAGCGCGAGGCCCGCGCGATCGCCTCCACTGTGAGGCTCCAACTGCTGCGGTGAACGTGGCCTGGTTGCGCAGGCCAAATGAGAGGAGGAGGAGTGGGAGGACGAGGACGAGGACGAGGACGAGGACGATTAGTGGGAGGAGGACGAGGACGAGGACGAAGAGTAGGAGGACGAGGAGGAGGAGGAGGAGGAGGACGAAGAGTAGGAGGAGGACGAGGACCAGGACGAAGAGTAGGAGGAGGAGGAGGAAGAGGAGGAGGGCGAACCAGGAAGACCAGGAAGACCAGGAGGGGCACGGCGAGGACGAGGGCCCCGCCGTCCGCGCAGGGCTTCCTCGAGCAGGCGAAGGTCGACCGCTTCTCGGTCTGCTTCAACGACGGCTCCAGCGGCGTCCTGAGCCTCGGCGCGCCCGCCGGGCGCCTCCTGTGGAGGAGGGGGGCCTCAGAGGCTGACTGCTGGCCACGGGGACGCCGGCGGCCCTGCCCCGGCAACTCGCGGCGGGGGTAGCGCCAGCACCGTGGGGCGGGGTAGCCGAGAGGACCACGGGGCATCTCCGCCAGAGCACAGGAGGTCCCCTGGGGTCCCTCGGAGGTGTTCGGAGGGAGTCCCTCGGGGGGTCCCTCGGAGGTGTTCGAGCGTTATACTCCCGGAGGGGTTCGGAGGTGTTCACCACGGGGGAGGGGGTGCCTCGGAGGTGTTCGGGCGTTATACTGGGCCATCGGGGTTTTCCAGCCTCGGGATGCTTTTTCTGGCAGCTGCGGCACGCCGAGGGCGTTCTGGGGGTACCCGAGTTGTCCCGACGGGCGTTGTGCGTTCTGGAGCCCGAGGTTACGACCGGAAGGCCAGACGACGAGCAGCACCAAGGAATCCGCGGTTCGGTCGGTTCGTTTATTTCGCAATCGCTTGCGTTCGGTCGATTCGGTTCAGTCGGTTGTTGTGCCGTGGCCGCGTCGCTGGGCCCTTCAGGTTTCTTCCGATCCATCGGGGTCGGTCGATTTCGGTTCCGCTGTCGGCGCGGTGATTTATCGTCTTTGTTGTCGGCATGAATGCCTATGGTTTGGGGTTCACTTTGTGCGCATAGCCGGTTGCAGACGGGTCAGCGCCCTTCGCGCCAGCGACGGGCACAGTGCCGCACTGTAGGTACGCCTGTCTTTCCAGATGCACTTTGGGTCAGTGACTCCGAAGCCGACAAGCGAGCGAGCTCGTACATATATCTCTTGTTCGCCCTGGCCCTGGATCTTCAGCTGTACACCAGCGCTGGAGGATTTGCGCGCGTTTGCTCGAGTTTACTGTTTTGTCGTCCTCCGCGGGTGGCCCAACACGCAGAATAATGCCGAAACGATCCACAGGGCAAGTTCAGGCGTGACAGATCGTCTGGCTTAGTCATTGCCCCAACCACCCTAACGGTCATCGCCTCCTAGTGATCATCTCCTCCTACTCTCCCATCCTCCTTGTTCCCTCCTCGTCGTCTTTCTCTTCCTGCTCCCCCTGATTCTCCGTCATCTTGATTCTGCCCGTCCAATTTGCTTCGTGCTCTTCCTCCTTGAAAGGATCGCTTCTCCTCATCTTTATCGCCACCACCACTACCACCACCACCACCACCACCACCACCACCACCACCACCACCACCACCACCACCACCACCACCACCACCACCACCACCACCACCACCACCCATCATCACCACCATCATCATCGTCGTCGTCCGTTTTATCACCATCATCACACTCATCATCATCATCATCATCATCATCATCATCATCATCATCATCATCATCAGCAGCAGCAGTTTCATCCGTAGCCATTTTGGCTCAAGGCCATTTCGGGAACTCGTACCCCCCGACTCAAGTGGCCTGCGCCCGCCGCGCGCGAGTGTGACCTTGGAGAAGCCCAAGGGACAGGGGTCACCGCATATTTCATCTCACCCACAAGCGTTTTGCCTCTGTGTACCGTACCTGCCTTCGAGTGCCATTCTTCATCGGTGCGATGGCTCTCGACGCAGCGGCTCTTCGTCGAATGCTGAATGAGACCCTCAGGCCGCTCAGTGCCCAGATAGATTCGATGAACTCTACGCTTGCTGGCAACTTGAATGCCGTACAAGAGATGGACGGGCGGCTCTCTGCAGGGATCCAGCAGAACACGGCCACCATCAACACACTGAAGGACGACATTCAGGCCCACAGCGAGCGCATTGACGAGCTGGAGCTCAAGCTTCAGAGACAACAGCATGGAGCAGATACGGAGATGGAGCAGGCTGACGGGATGGCAAGCACAGGTTCAGCATCTGCGAGGCTGCAGAGTCTCGAGGCCAGCGTCGCCGAGATGCAACGTAAGATGGACCAACCGACCTCTGACCCATGGGCAGGCTTGCGTGGATCGGCTTCGAGTCGATCGACTGCTCCACCATCAACAGCTTCATCGCCAGTGAGACCTACGGTGCCTGCTGACAGAACGAAGATTTGGATACGAGGATTCCCGAAGAAGCAGCTGCATAATGTTTTCGGGCGTCATTGCGCGATCCTCAAAACGAACATGCCTGATGAGTATCGAGATAAATGTGTACCACGCTGCCAGAGCCTACGCTTTGTATATTCTATCAAATTCGAATCGCAGGAGCACGCGAGGTTGTTCTACGAGCGGGCGCGGGACCATCCCATCAAGTTCACTCAAGCCTCAACTGGCACGCAACACGACCTGCGAATCGGACTCGACGAACCTTATGACATCAAGAAGAAGGGCTACATTCTAGGGCTCCGCTGGAAGCAGATCTGCGCGTACACGCGCCCCAATGGCCGCTGGGCGCCCTCGACGGTACTCGCCTGCAACAAGTAGCAGGGATTATGCTATACCACCGCGCGTGATGAACCGATTGGCCTTGGGACGCTCTCGTCGTGGACCGAATCCGAGGTTGTTGTCGAGGCGTGCGCCCAGGAGTTGCGCGACTTCGGCCTCGCCGAGCAGCAGGTCCAGGATTTGCCCGCCGCGGTCAACAGCGCGTACCACGAGTAGGGGGTAGGCGCTCCATGCTCTACAGAAACTGACGCCGATGTCACATCTGTTTTTGCTTATACTGCTGATTCTCCTCCTCTCACCCCTTCCTTCGCTCGCTGTCTTGGGAAGCGATTTAAGAGCAGCTCTGATCCTCCGCCCCCCTCTGGCAGCAGTGCAGACATTCTACTCGAATGCCCCTGGCAGATAAAGAAGCACCTGGCGCTAAGCACGTGGAATGCAAGAGCCTTCTTTGGAAGCGTGCATGGGGGGCCACTCTGCAGAGAAATCGGGTTCGCAAGCTCCGCACTCTTATCAATGCACACACTATTGTATTCATGCAAGAAACACATGGAACATATGCTGACCTCGAGACTTTGCGCAGAGACTATCCCACGCACACGCACTTCGGCACGTTCTGCGAGAATCCGAATGCGGGTGGAGCTACCATCAGCGTGACCAACTCTTTCCTTGCCAACTTCACGAATGTGGAGCCCTGCGGGCACGTTCACGGCCGTCTCCTCTCTCTTTCTCTCCAAGGACCCCAGGGTGATCTCGAAGTGTACAATATCCACCTCGACCCCGCCCTCAATGATGCTGGTAAGTTTTCTGTTATCGAAAAAGTTGCCGATACCCTTCCCCGCAATCATTCGTGTTTGGCTCTTCCTGGCATGCGACTTTAACTTCCTTGAGCCAGGAGAGACCCGAATCAGGACTGATGGTGAGTACCAGCGCCCTGAGCGCCCCGCTCTTCTTCGACGCTTTCGAGAGCTCTTCCCGAGCCCGCTCGAGCTGGCGCAAGGCGAGCCCACGCGTAGGTCTGGGGGTCTTGGGGAAGGTGTTCAGTCTCTGGGGCGCATGGACCGCATTTACACTTTTGCTGACACTGCTACGATTTTGGAGGCCAAGCCTACTGCTGGCATCGTTGGGCACGTCTTGAAAGCTAGCGAGCCGAGTGATCATGTTCCTGTCTTTGTCCGTTTTACCCCGGGGCTTTGGCCCCGGGCCAGTAGTCCGCCGTGGGTGACCGCGCATCCTGAATTTGCGCAGCTAGTTGACGAAGCACGGGCCCAGACTGACCTCTACACGGACCCCCGTCCTCGCCATAGAAGAGATCAAAGAGTGTATGCACATTGCGTCCGTTGAGATAAAGTCACGCGTATACCGCTATGGTGTACAAACGGATGCTCATCGCCTCGTGGTTTGTTTAAAATGCATGCGTGCCAACTCGAGCGGACAGAGCCACGTCGTGCGCAAGTGCGCGCGCGCACGACATGATCGTGCAGTTCACAGACGAGCAGCACGAGCACACCATTGATCAGGCGAGGTTCCACGAGCACATCCGCACCATTCAAGAGCGCATTCTGGTCCTTGAGCTTAGGGGGCACGAGCAGCCCCCAGAGTGCCAGAATGATGACGAGCGAACAGTTAAGCTGCACAAGCTTTTGAAGGCATGGTCTCCCAGGCATAGGCGCATATCACTCGTAGGCGTCCTGGGCAACCAGGGGCACGCGCCCGCCAGTCTAGAGGACAGCGCCGCCCGTCTGGCTGATCACTGGGGCCGAGTACAATCCCCCGCCGTTGTGCCAAACGTTCCCCCGCATATCTCAGAGATGCTGCTTGCCCAGTGCCGGAAAGTCTCTCCAGGTATAAACTGGATTGTTCCGCTCTCTGATATGCTCGGCTTTCTCCGCCGCGAGCAGGGCGCTGCTGCAGGTCCCGATGGCATCCCGTACTCAGGTTGGGCAGCAAGTAGCATTTGAGCGCAAGGAGATCCTGCGCCAAGCTCATTTGCGATATATGTCTGGACCCCCCCCCCCCCCCCCCCCTTGGAGGATTCAACCACGGGGCGACAGTTGTCCTGGCCAAAAATCTCGAGGACGACTCCCTTAGGGAGGTGCGGAAACAAGCTGCGGGGGCCCGTCCGTTATTCCTGGGCAATACTGATAATAAAACCTTCGCTCAAACGTTGTGTGTACCTTTTGGTCAACAGGCTCAGTTTTCTGTGCGCAAAAGCCAGACAGGGCTTATCAAAGGATGGAGTATGCTGGACAACATTATGCTGATTGAGTCTGACTTCTTGGAGCATGCAGTGTTTCAAGGAGCCGAGCGAGCTGGCCTATTCTTGCTTGATTTTGCTGCTGCCTTCCCGAGTCTCGCTCATGCTTGGATCCTGGCCGTGTTAAAACATATGCTTATGCCGGACTATGCCGCGGACGCTGTTCAGCAGTTATATCGTGATATATATATATATATGCGCAAGTATCAGGTTAGGAGGTGGCGCATTCAGAGGATACTAGGTCACACGAGGGATCAAACAGGGGTGTCCTTTATCTGGTGTACGATTTGCCATAGCTGCAGATCCTATTTTCAGATGCTCGTATTATGTTTTGACTCCGTTGGCACGGCCATTTGCATTCGCTGACGACATAGGCATTGTTTCCAGTGACCTTGTTCGCACGCTCCCCGACGTGCTAAGAGTGCTCTCCCAGGCCGCGCTGGCGACGGGCCTGGTCTTGAACCCAGGCAAGTGCTCGCTGGTAGTTGCCGTGCCATACTCCAGGAGAGAGGTTGTTGAGCTGTTCCGTGGTTCTGGCATTAGAACTAGACTGTATCGGGTCGACACTTTCGGCAAGTATCTGGGAGCTTACATCGGCCCGAATGGGCCCGCGTTCTCCTGGGGCGCCCCAGGGGTCAAATACATCAAGCGAGTCTGGCACATCACAGGTCTGTCTTTAGGGCTATGCCAGACTATCATAGCCTACAACTCGCTGGCCTTCTCCGCGCCCAGCTTTGTGGGCCAGCTGTATCAGGCGCCGCCAGCTGTGCTGAAAAAAAAAAGAGAAAGAAGCTCATCAGCTTCTCGCGTCCGCTCCCAGGCATTCCATTCCTGCAGACATCCTCAGATCCCCATCGGTGCTGTGCTTCCCTCACGATCCCAGAGACCTCCAGAGAGAATCCAGGGCCAGTTTGTACCGGGTCGCACTAAAATCTTGCTGGTTCCCTGAAGTGCGAGGAAGGTTCGCCTGGCTGGAGGATGAGGAGATTGATCGACTAGCAGTTCTGCGCAACACTGAGTGGTATGAATCCAGTATCTGTTATTCCTTGATTGCCAATTACAACCAGCTGACTGCCATTCCTATGATGATAGTTGACTCCGACACTGACATGCTGCAGAAAAGAGTGAATAACATCCTGAGGCGTAGGCAAGCCCCCGAATTTTGCCAATTTAGCTCTCCTCCCTCGTATCTGTCATTTTGACAACACCGCTCAGCTTCCCAAGGCTGATATAGTAGTAATGCGTATGAAGCTAGCTGTCATTAAACTTGCCCCGTGTGTGGGAGCTGCAGTCTTGAGAGGTATTTGTAATTCTTGGGCCACCAGTTCCAGGTACCGTCAGGGGCGACATGCTTGCCGATTCGGGTGCCGAGCGTGTGGTGGCGATCGCATCCTCCATTATTTTGACTGCCCATGCGCTCTTGAGCCGCTCTGTCAGGTCCTGCCCCATCTTCATCCTGATTCCCTCTCCTGGACGGCCCAGGACCGCCTGCTGCTTCACAGACGTAATGTTGCCAACTCTCTTGCCTTGTACTCTACCATGCTTGCCCACGATCTGATTTTCAGCACTTTTAATTCTCTCAGGAACCTGAAACGATTCGGCCCTGAGTGCATTCACACATTTTACAAAGCGCGCGCGAGGGCAATCTCGAAGCGGAAGCCTCACATTCGTACTCTGTTTCAACGGTGATGGGGTTTCAGGAGATTTGGTGCTTGAAGGGGCTGCGCCATCATCATCAGCAGTATCATTCTCATCATGCCCGTCCTCCCCCTCACCTTACGTATCAACGCTTCTGGATGTTGACCATTCTTTTATTGGGCTCGGCTGCTATCAGGCGGCCGTTGCTGTCAGAAGAGGTCGCGCCATTGCCGCCACGTCCGAGTGGAACGCTCTGAGAGCTGGCTGATGAGCCCTTCGCTGGGGCTCGATATGATTCTTTCGATCGTTCCCCTCCGCCCTTTTCGGAGCTGGTTTTCGCCCTTGGCCCCCCTAAAACAAGCGCGGCCGCTCCGCTGTTGCGCGGGCTGCCGCCAGAGCCCCGCAGAAAAACCGCCGAGAAGTGCCGAGGGCCGATGAGCCATCGGGGCGCGCACGGTGGAGCACGAACTAAATTTTTCTTTTCGGGGAACATGCATCATACATACACAGCGGTGGACGTTCCGTGTATTCCCACCCGCTGATCCAGAACACATTCGTGGGCGCACCGTCGCCGGATAGGAAGTTAAGGAAAGCCAGTGGTTAAGACAGGGATTGCGCCCGATGAAGCACGCGGGTCCTGGAGCAAACGGATCCTGATAGGCCTTTTCCCAGGACCAGTTCTTCATCTTGAGCCGTTCTCTGACGGTCTTGGGCCACGGCCAGGAATGGCCTTCAGAGGCCGATAACGGCGAAAATGCCGCAGGACCCGTTTCTGTCCGCATTTTTGTCAGGATGCATTTCGTGAGATGTGAAATTCGGCATCGGCGCTGGTATATCCGCGGTCGGATACCAGCTTCATCTGGCATCATCCTGTTGAAGGTGCGCTGAATCTTGGGACAAATCTGGGGTACCGGCTTAATGGTGCTTTATTATTTGGCAAGGCAGTTCTCCCATGAGTTGCATCCTCGCCATGGCGACTCGCGTCGTCCAGACTCGCGTCGCCCAGCTTCGCCGCTGAAGACCTGCGCCGTTGCCCGCGCGAGGCGGGGAGATGCCCAAGGCCTCTCACGGCGGCATCGGCAAGCAACACTGGGGCGTGGAGCTCCCAGCAGCCGCCGACGACGCAAGCCGCCGACGGCGGAGAACGGCGCCGACGGCAGCCGACGACGACGCATGACGACGGACGACCACGCCGACGACGGACGCTGGCGACGGTCGCCGACGTCGCCGGAGACGGCGACGGTCGCCGCCGTCGGCGGCGGCGAGAACGACCATTTACGCCGACGGCGACGACGGCGGTCCCCGCAGACCCGATCATCCTCGCGCCACGGCTGCGACGCCGACAGAGGCCGACCAGGAGGGGGACGAAGAGATGGAGGGGGAGGCAGGGGATGGGAGGGAGGAGCAGGAGGAGGAGAAGACGGAGGAGGAGAGGGACAAGGAGGAGGATTGTGATGTTGATGTTGGTGCTGTTGGTGACGACGACGGTGGTGGTTGGTGGTGATGATGGTGATCTGATGGTGATCTTCCCCTATCCGTCCCCCATTCGCCGTGTCCGCCTTCTCCCTCTCGCCCCGCCCGCACGATGCAGCAGGAGGCGCAGGCGGACCAGTAGAAGGAGAGGGAGAGGGAGGAGGAGGAGGAGGAGGAGGAGGAGGAGGAGGAGGAGGAGGAGGAGTAGGAGGAGGAGGAGGAGGAGGAGGAGGAGGAGGGTCAGGAGGAGGATAATGAGGGAGGAGCAAGTGGATGATAAGAACAGTGGGATCGCAGAGCCGAGGAGGATGATTACGAGGAGAAGGAGGAGGTATGGAGAACAAGGGCGATGACCATGATGATGGGGATCATCGTCAGGCGACGGAGAGGAAGACTAAGGGAGGATCGTCGGCAAGGACGTGAGGAGGATGAGCAGCAGCAGCAGCAGGAGTAGAGGAGGAGCCGCAGCCACAAGAGAGTCACAGGGAGGAGTAGGAAGAGGATGCGTGCAGCCAACGCGCATGGTAAGAACGATCAGCACTCCCAAGTATACCCTCGCATCCTAGCCATTCGGTTCATCATTAGCCAATCCTTAGCACAGCAAGCTTTGTCTTGAGCGTGCAAGAGGCTTACGCCCTTACTGCTCATCCTGATCATACGCGTTGTCTGTAATCCTTTTCTGCCCCTGGGTATTCAGGTGGACTTTCGCGGCATCTCGGTGGGCAATGAGACCTTGCCGTCCCAGGCGCCCTGTCTCTCTCCCGCGGGGGGGGTAGATAGATAATTCACACAGCGTCGGCCCACGGCATTGTCAAATACAGGAGTATTGATGCCCTCTTCGTCCTCCATGCTAGTTGTAGTTTTCAGCACTCCTCACAAAACGCGCGCGTGCACACACGCCCACCAACCCACCACACGCACACACTCTCTTCGCGTTGGCGGCCCGACGCATCCCGATCGTGCGGTCCAGTGGAGCAGAGTCGTGGAAAGTGGGTTGCAACCAGTGCGCACATATGTTGTTGCTCGGCAGGCGAGCGCGTTGTCGCGCCGTAGAAGTACGATGGTTGTTCGTTGGGAGTGAAGCAGCGGTGCATGGAATCCGGCAGCAGAGCCAACGTGCCAGCGAGAAACAGCAAGCGCGCGGAGGCCCCAAGAAAGCGCGCAGCCGGAGCGACAGCCAAAGCCAGGTAGCGGAAGGGGAGGATGTCAGACGCGAGGGACGGGCCGACGCACGGACGGGAGGAGGAGGATGAGGAGGAGGTGCTACCATGAGGAAAGCCAGACAAGGAACGAGGGCGCTTTTCTGGCCTCTGTGAGTCTCGGCCACCCTCGCTCTCCTGCAGGTTTGCTCGGGACTTCGGCTGAGGGGGGGACACCCGTTACACACACGTTGGCGTCGCGGCCGTGCCCGCAGCGACGCAGCGCAGTCAGGCAGTCAGCGAGCCCAGGGGCGTGCGGCCAAGACCTCACGCAGCGCCAGGCGGGGGGCACAGGAATCATCCACAAGGACAGGCAGCACGCTCACATTCTTGTCGCTTCGCTAGCGCTCGTTCAGCCCGCGAGAGCCCAAGTCGGGTTGCAAAAACAGCCACTTGGGCGACGCAGAAAAAAACGGGGTCGTCTGCGCCGACATTGCTGCGTAAGCTGCCCGCGTAAGGTCGCGCGTAGGCGCCCTCGTCTCCAATGCACTTTACCGCGGCGGCGGTCCGCGTAAGCCACCGCGTAAGGTCACTGCGTCACCTCGCGTGAGAACCGAGTTTTGCTCGTCGCCCGATTGGCACCCAAGGAGGCGGGAGAAGAAGAGGGCGGCCGCGGAGAGGAGGGGATTGAAGGATGGCGAGGCGTTGGGGGTGCATGGAGTTCCTCCTCCTCCTCCTCCTCCTCCTCCTCCTCCTCCTCCTCCTCCTCCTCCTCCCCCTCGCCCTCCTCCTCCTCCTCCTCCTCCTCCTGCTCCTCCTCCTCCTCCTCCTCCTCCTCCTCCTTCTCCTTGGCAGTCGTGCGTGACCGGCGCTGACCCCGCCGCCGGCGTTCCACGTTGAACGCCGCTGGCGACCCAGAGTCGGTCGATGTGGAACGATCTGACGTTTCGGACGCGGCCGAGCGACCAAGGTGGTACGATCCCCGCGGTGTCAGGAACCGACGCCAGGGTCGACAGGACACGAACCTGCCGTAACAAACACACACACACACACACACACACACACACGCGCCGCACTCTTCGAGCGCATCCGTCAGCGTGAAGCGGAGCGGAGCGGCGTCACCAGCCCGGCGGGTGGCGCGAGCAGCAGGGGTCAGTGCTTCTGACGCTGTCGATGGGCGAGTTCTGTCACGTGACTGGTCCGCCTCTCGGCGTGTTTCGCCTTCTTCTTCGCCTTATCATTCGTCTCATTCCTCTTCTTCTCCTCCTTCTTCCCCTTGCCTCGCTCGGCTCGCTCGTGCGGAGCAGCCTAGACCCCTCAGACCCTGTCAGGGGCCCGGGCGCCGCCCCGGGCGCAGGCGAGCTCTCATCTCTGCCACCCCGCGGCCGGCCCTGGCGGGTCGGCCTGGGCCTCGGGCCCCGGTGGGAGCCCACGGGGTCGGCACGCGAGGCGTCCCAGGGCAGGCCTCGCCTTCGTGGCTCGAGGGAGCTGCCGCCCCTTCGTCGGCAGAGGGGCGGAAGCTAGTGGAAGTAGAACTCCAGGCTTCCCAGATTCAGGAGCGAAAGAAGGACGTACACGTACATGAATCCACGCTGGTTTCGAGAGCACGCATTGCACAAATGTTCGTATCACGCGGCCGGTCTCGCGAATCGAGGGGCCGTGTTCATGTACATAGCTGGGCGCGTACGTCCTTTGTGGGCTCCCTAAGTAGATGGGTTCGGAGGATCGCGCCGCATCGCCGATGCATCGCCGTGGAGCTCGATGTTTAGCCACGCTGAGGGTATCGATGCATCGGCGATGCGGCGCGATCCTCCGACCCCATCTACTCCGACCCCATGCGGGAGGCCTATGTGCACGTGGGCGGCTTCGCGGGCGGAAGCTGGCGGAGGTAAGAACAGTTGCCTTCCCAAGAGATGGCAACATCGGTGGGTTCAGGGTTTCCGAATTTGTCCACCCAGGCAAAGGCAGCACAGAGCTACAAGCTCTTTCCCTCCCTGCGGCTCGTTCTGGCGGGTCAGTCTGGACCCCGTCAGACCCTGCCACGGGCCGATAGGGCTCACGCTGAGGCAAAGGCAACACACAGTCACACGCTCTCCTGCGACCCAGACGTCGATGGGAGGGCGCAGCTGCCGAGTATAGCGCATACGCCTTGGTGAGCTCGTTTTCCAGGGCCTGAGGGCCCGCTGCGCTGCCCGCCCCTGGGCCGCCCTTGGACGTTGCGCGCACAAGGGGGGTGGGGGGAGGGGGGAAGGCTTCTTAGAAGGAGGCTGCTTCTCAGATGAGGCCCGCGCCTTCTAAGGAGCAGCCTCTTTCCAAGTAGCCTTCCCGCCTCCCCCCCTATTCTCCTGGGTGCGCGCCGTCAACCGCCCGCGGCTCGCTCTGACCTGTCAGCCTGGACCCCCCGGGCCCTGCCACGGGTCTGGGTGCCGCCCCTGGACGCGGGCGCTCCGCGCCTCTCGCCCGCCAGGCGCTGTTCTGCACGCCCGAGACCACGAATATGACGGAGGCGCCCGTGGTCATGGTTTAGCGGGCCGTTCGCCACGGTGCACAATAAGCCGTTTCGCCGTCGGGGACGTTCGTTCCAGGGCGGCTGGACAGTTTACACCCCTACGGTGGCACGTCAGGGTAGACACTTTCCAGCCTCCCTGGGGCAGGCGCCCCCGGTGACAGAACAGTTTATCGAAGACGCATACGGCGAATCACCGCCGTCCCCTGCTTCTGGGAATCGTCCATGTGGCCGAACGTTGTGGCCAGAGCTCTGCCAAGCTATCCGACCATGTGTTCCCCCACCCGTTGTGGAAACCCTTCGGGGAACACGCGGGGAAGACAGAAGAGGCGGAGGAGAGCGACTACAACCAGAGAGGAGGAGGAAGAGGAGGCAGAGGAGGCTGATGAGGAGGAGGAGGAGGACGAGGAGGATGACTCTTGTGGCTCGGAGGCCTCTTGGAAGCCATCTTGGGCCTCTTGTGAGGCTTTTGGGGGGTTTTTGAGCCCCTTTGGCCGTCTTGGGGCGTTCTTGGCCAGTCTGACGCCGTGGGAAGCCATCGTTGGGGCCACTCTAGACCGACTTGGGGCCCCCTTAGGGCGCTTCAGGGCCGTCTTGGAGGCCACCATGGGCGACTTGGAGGCCTCTTGTGCCGTCCTTGGGCCCTCTTTTGGCCGTCTTGGGGGCTTCTTGGGCCGTCATGGGGTCATCTTGGAGGCCTTTAGGGCCATCTTTGGGCCCTCTTTGGCCGTCTTGGACCGTCTTGGACCGTCGGAAGGCCGACAGACGCAAAAGGCAACATCCTTCAAACACCTGTTTCAAATCGATGATTTGTTGGGTCGTTTTGAGGCCATCTTTGGCCGTCTTGGGTGCATTTTGGGGCCATATCGGGTTCTCTTGGCGCCATCATGGCCGTCTTGGAGGCATCTTGGAGGCCATCTCCGGCCATCTCGTCAGTCCGGGAGGCATCTTGGAGTCATGTTGGGCGAGACAGGCATTGACATGTACATTTTCTGGGTGGCTGGCGCGCTGGACCGAAGCCCCAGGCGGAAGTTCTTTGCTAGGGGGAAAACCAAAGCCAACAATAGTATAGGGTCTAGCTCGCCAGGCACCCCTCTGATAAATCAACAGGGGCCGGCGGATCGAAGACGCCTACGGCGAATCACCGCCGCCCCCTGCCTTTGTGGAAGCGCCTATGTGGCCGAACGTTGAGGCCAGACCTGCCAAGCTATCGGACCATGTGTGCCCCGAGTCGGTTTGGAAAGCCTCCAGGGAACACGTGGGCATCTTGAAGGTCATCTTGGCCGCCTGGAGGCCATTTTGACCCTTTTCGGGCCTTCTTGTAGGACGTCTTGAAGGGCTCGTCGGCCGTCTTGGAGGCCATCTTGAGCGTCTTGGAGGCCTCTTCGGCCGTCTTGGGGGCCTCTTGGGGCTGTCTTGGGCGCCTCTTGGGCCGTTCTGGGGCCATCTTGGAGGCCTCTTGGGCGATCTTGGGGCGACCTTGGGGGCCTCTTGGGCCGTCTTGGGCCGTCGGAAACCGAAAAGGCGCAAATACCAAAATCCTTCGAAAACCTAAGGAAAATCAATGACTTTGACCTCGTCGGGCCTTCCTGGGGGACCTCTTGGAGGCCTCTTGGGCCGTCTTGGAGGCCTCTTGGGGGCCTCTTGGGCCGTCTTGGGCCAGAGTCAGGCTATCTTAGGCAGTCTTGGGTACATCTTGGGCCGTCTTGGAGGCATCTTGGGGCCACCTGAGCCGTCTTGGAGGCCATCTTGGCCGTCGTGGAGGCATCTTGGGGCCGTCTTGGAGGCCATCTTGGGGCCATCTGGGGCAGGAAAACCGTTGGCAACCACCTCTTCCGGGTGGCCGGCGGGACAGGCCGAAGCCCCAGGGGGAGTTCTTTTGGAAAAGAACCGAAACCCAAGCCGAAATAGTTTAGCACGCTAGGCACCCCTGCGATGAATCGACAGGGGGCGGCGGATTTTCTCCAATGGCCTTGGTCCATCCCACCACCGTGCCTGGGTTGTGTGTATGAAGCCTGTTAGATGGTCGATGGGATCTCGTGGGAAGCCTCTCGCCTCTTGGAAGCAGTTGGGACCCCTCTTTGGGGCCGTCTTGGAGCCTCTTGGGGGCCTCTTAGGCGCCGCTTGGGGGCCTCTTGAGGCCTCTTGGGGGCCTCTTGAGGCCTCCAGGGCGCCTCTTAGGACCTCATGGGGGTCTCTTGAGGATGGAAAGCTTGGATTTCCGGTTCGTGCCCCCTCTCTTTCGGGCCGTCTTGAGGCCATCGTGGGCCGTCTTGCGCGCCTCTTGGGCCGTCGTGGAGCTATCTTGGGCTGTCTTGGACGCCTCTTGGGCCGTCTTGGAGCGTCGGAAGATCGAACAGTCGGGAACCCCGGCAACACTGCACAACTCTGGGGAGATCAGTGCGTTTGGCCTTTCGGGCCCTCTTGGGAAGGGTCTTGCGAAGGCTCTCGGGGCGTCTCGAAGGCTACTTGGGCCATCTTGGAGCTACCTTGAGCGTCTTGGTCCGATCGTGTAGCCATTCGGGTGACCCTTGGAATATCTGGGCGGCCTCTCGGGGGTCTCTTGGCCCGTGTTCGGGCCCGCTTGGCGCCCAGAAAGTCGTGGGCCCCTCATGGGGGCCCTCTTGGAGGCCCTCGTGGGGTCCCGCTTGGCTCCCGCGGCGTCTTGAGGCCTCTTGGGGACGACTTGGGCGGTCTTGGAGGCCTCTTGGGCCGTCTTGGAGCGTCGGTGAGCCGAAAAGACGAATAGGCAAATTCTCTTGAACAACCTATGGGAGATCAATGATCTGGGTCTCTTGGGGCCTTCTTGGGAGGCCTCTTGGAGGCCTCTTGCGGGCGTCTTGGAGGCCTCTTGGGCCATCTTGAGCGTCTTGGAGTTATCGTTTGGCGACGCGGGGCTTTCTTGGACCGTTTTAGGGCCTCTTGGGGCCCTCTCGGCCCGTCCTGGGGCCCTCTTGGCTCCGAAGCAGTCAAGCGACATGACGCGCCAAGCCCCAAGAGATTTTAATGTTTGGGGTTTGGGCCCCTTACAGACTCCTCGGGACTGTTGATGGAGGCTCAAGGGATTAGGCAAGGGACCTGAAGAAAAACTCCGTGCCCTGAGGCACGGTGGCAGATACCGTTCTTCGCCCGCGAAATCGCCGCCGATGCCGCTAGACGACATCGCGCGTCGTCGTCGTCGTCGTTGCCCCTGCGTTGCCGCCGTCCCCGCCGACATCGCGCGGCGTCGTCGTCGCGTCGTCATCCGTACAGTCGTCGTCGTCATTGCCCCTGCCGTCGTCGCTGCCACTGTCCCCGCCGACATCGTCCGGCGTCGTCGTCGCGTCGTCGTCCGCACTGTCGTCGTCGTCGTCGTCATTGCGTTGGCCGTTGTCGCCGCCGCCGTCCCCCCCGGCATCATGCGTCGTCTTTGTCATTGTCGTTGTCGTCGTCTGCGCAGTTATCTTCGACATTATCGTCGTTGGTATCGACGTGGCCGTCGTTGTCGACGTCATCGTCGTCGTCAGCATCTTTGTTGGCGCTCTGTTTTTGCACTCGCGCACGGTTGGGCGCCCCAGCGCCGCGCGGCAGTAGATTCCCCGCTCCAGTCGCACAGGGATGGTGGAGGAGGAGGAGGGATGTCGCAGGATCAGCCACGCACAGATGGGGGTAGGGGGGAGGGGGCAAGGCTTCTCAGAGGCACCACTGCTTCTTTGAAGGGGCGGGCCTTCCCTATAGATGTAAGGGCCGCGCCTTTCAACGAAGCAGCCTCCTTCGAAGAAGCGTCCCCCCCTCCCCTTACCCCCCTCGGCGCGCCGCCAATTGGAGGAGAGAGGGAGGGAGGTCGAAGGAGAATTGAGGCTCCCAGATGGGGTCCGTGAAGATGGGGTCGCAGGATCGCGCCGCATCGTCGATGCATTGGCGATGCGGCTCGATGTGGAGCCCGATTTTATCCGCGCCGATGCATCGCCTGCGTCGCCGATGCATCGCCGATTTATCGGGGACGCTGCTGACTCCATCTACTCGGACCCCACTTTTGGAGGCTCCTAGAGGAGCAGGGCTTGGGAAGGGAGCGGGGGGAGGTTGGGCGGTAGAAGGTGATCGAAGGACGGAGGGCATAGGATGAGGAGGGAAGGGAGGGAGGGAGAGAGGAAGAAGAGGTGGGACGGAACAAGGATGAGGGAGGACGGCAGAGGGGTACGGAAGGGAGGATGTGAAGGGGGAGGCAGCAGTGAAGGGGAATGAGTTCGACAAGGGCAAACCCGGGATGCATCAACGATGTTGCAATACACATTCTCTGCCCAAGTCACCCTGTAAGTTTGCCGAAACCTTCCAACCCATGCCACGAAGCGTTCCTTCGTCGAAAGACGCAAACACCATGAGCCTGCCATTCAGTTCAGACCCCCATTTCGAAAAGAGCCAGCCTTGCAGCCTTCTAGCGAATGACACGGAACGCAAACAGATATGATCATAAAGTCGCACCATGTGTCTGGAGAGAGCCCCGTCGTAAAAAGGGATTGTTCCCCCATCCGTGCTATCGTTGCACAGGTTTGCATGTATAGGCCCATTATTGGTGCGGGAGTTTCAATCGAGAGTCCCAGGTTGAAAAATAATGGAAAACAACCGGCTTTCGAGGAGCCGCAGGATGAGAGAACATTACCATCCAACGTGTGTGGTCTTCCGCCCTGGGCGTAGCCGGCGTGTGCGTGGGGTTTGGCTTGCCGCAGTTGACGAGGGGTCAAGCGAGGCCAGCGTGGCTTTAGCAACACGTGCCCCAGCTAGCGTCAGATGGCCCCAGACGCGTGCCTGTTTGGATCCGACGGGAATCCGAGGATATGCAAATCAGAGGGTCACGATTTGGTGCAACTGTATTTGCTTGGACAAGCGGCGTCGGTCAAGCTCCGATCGAGACATCGTGCCAGCATTGCATGAGAGACGAGTTTGGGCACGCACTCCGGCTCCTGGCGTGTAGAGCATGTGGAGCCATTTTTGAGTATCGCAGTCGCCTACGGCGAATCATCGCCGCCCTCTGCCTTTTTGGATACGCCTATGTGGCCAAATGTTTGGGCAACGTTCGGCCACGCTATTGGACCATGCGTTCCCTCAGCCGATGTGGAAGCCCTTCGGGGAACATATGGGGGAGGAAGAGGGAAATGAGGAGAGGAAGGACAAAAGAGGTCGAGGAGAAGGATTAGGAGACCTCTTGGAAGCTTCGTGGGTCAATCTGAGGGCCTCCCGGGAGCTTCCTGGGGACCTCTTGGAGACCTTGTGGGGGTCTCCTTGGGCCTCTTTCCCTTCCGGGTGGCAGGCTCAATGGACCGAAGACCCAGGGGAAGTCTTAAACAAAGAGAAGAAACATCAGAAGTTTAGCACGCCAGGAACCCCATGAAAGACATCAACAGGTGGCGACGAATTTGATGGTTTTCGGCCCATCCCGCCACCGTTCCTGTGGTTCCTGGGAGGCCTCTGGGAGGCCTCTTCGGGCGTCTTCGGGGCATGCCGTCTTGATGCCATCTTTGGCGCAGTGGGCCATTCAGGGCCACGCTTTTCCTCCTCCTCGACGTGCGCCTGGCCAGCCTGGGCCCCCCCTCCCCTTCACTTCCCAGGCCCTGCGCAGCCCTTGTCCTGTAGGTGGGGTTCCAATCCATTCGAATCCCGGGTCCGCTGTTCTCATGCTCCTGCTCCTCGATGTGCGCCTGGCCCGCCCTGGCTCCCCTCTGCTCGTACCAGGCCCTGCGCAGCCCATTCGAATCCCAGGTCAGCGGGGGTGGAGGGCCACCAGGAACACCCCGCTCCTAGAGAGGACGGCCGCAGGTGGGGTGCGAATCCGATCGGGTCCTGGTCCTGTGTGGCACTGGCGCTGCCACTTGTAGTTCCCCCCCCAGCCTCGGAGGAATGGAAGGATAGCGACACTGGCACCACCAGGAGTGCCACCTCCAGCGAGAAGGTCCACGATGCCTCCCCGAGCTGAGGATAGGAGATGCCTCGAGCAGGGAGGGGGATCACACCGCCAGGATGACTCCTCCTTGGCTGCTCGCGCTGGTGGTAGTTGAGTCCTTCCCCCGTGTTCCTACAGTCCTCCTGGCCACCCCCCTCGTCCCTTTTGGACCCCGACCCCGCAGGAGCAGAAGACCCCTTGCGGCGCTATCCCCGACTCCGGCACCACCACGATCATGGGCCCGGCGGACCAGGCCGCAGCCTCTCCGTGCCGCGCCGGGCGGCAGCGGCAGCGACCTTCTTGAGGAGGGAGAGATGCCTGCGAACGCTGTTTGGTCAGACTGATGTAGCGGATTCCTGGTCGGAGCGCACCCCCAGCAGGAGAGGTTTGGGGAGCAGCGGCATCGGTATCGATGTCGTCTTGTGCTCCCAGGTGGCAGCGACGACGGAGGGGGGCGAGGTGGAGGCAGAGGCGGAGGCGCCATCGTCTGGCAATCGTCAGCCGTCGCTCGCCGCTACCGTCTGGCATTCGTCGTGGTCGTCGTGGGTCGACGTCACCGTCGCTGGCCTCGGCGTCGACATCGCCGTCGCGACGCGGCCGAGGTGCTCAAGCTGATGGAGGGCATCTGCGACGGCTGGGACCGTTGCAGGCCCCGAGCGACTGCCTCCCAGAGAAACCTCGGCACTGGCTCGGATGTCGCCAAAGTCGGAGGCCCTCCAAGCGGTGCGATGACCACACCGTGTGGTGAGTCAGTGTTGGAGGGCATCTTCGGGCTGTCACGATTGAAAACAGCAGAGCGCACCCAGGGTACTCAGCCGCCCATCAAAAGTTGGTTACTTCAACGGTTTTTGCAACCCTGCACCGTGAACCAGACTACAGTGACCCCGCATAGTAAAGATGAGCAACTTCCCAAGATTACCCTTGCATCCTTCCCCTTCGGCCCATCCTTGGCCGCTTTCGATGGTCGCGCCCCGCTCGCAACGTGTCGACATGGCCTCACAAGGCCCTGGCATCCTTATAATTCATCCTTATTGCACTGTTTACTGTAGAGGCTGGGGTAAGGCGGAGGAAGATCAATGGCGAGAGGACGAGGACCAGGAGGAGGAGCAGAAGAAGACGAGTAATAATAATACTAATAATGATACGTGATGTGTACACAGTTGAGGGGCAGGGGAGTGGGGAGAAGACAGAATCCGCTGGATAAGGGAGACACGGCGGACAGCTTCTGCCCCCCTTCGCCAATCGGAGAGGAAGAGGGGGAGGAGTAAATGCAGGGGCCGGGAGAACAAGAGGAGGGCGCGCAGGAGGAGAAAGGGCCAAGGAGAGACCCACGAGGGCGAAGTCTCGGCCGAGGAGCAGGGCAATGTGGAGGAGAAGGTTGGCACGATAGCACGCCGCTGACGGAGAAAGAGAGAGCGAGAGAGAGAGAGAGAGAGAGTCCCGACGCTCAGGCCAAAACCCCAGGGGGGTGCCCATCCGAGCGGGCCTTTTTTTGTCACCTCGGCGCGGCTCGGCAGAGGCCGCGCGCCGAGGGCCAGCGACAGCCCCCCCCCCGGGGAACACAAACCTCGCCGTCGTCCTCTTCGAGGGGCTCACCCCTCACTTTGACATGCCTGTCAGCAATGGCTATCCCCTCCCCCCCCCTCCTCCTCCTCCTCCTCCTCCTCCTCCTCCTCCTCCTCCTCCTCCTCCTCCTCCTCCTCCTCCTCCTCCTCCTCCTCCTCCCGCCTCCGTTTCGTTCGCACCGAAAACCTGGCGACCGTCGGCTAGGCACACACGGCGCCCAGCGTGCAACGCAGGAGCTGATGCCTGGATTTTGAGAGGCCCGCTTATTCTTCCGCCCGGGATCGAGCGGCGCGGCCTGGCACCCCGAACAGCTGGCCTTGAGGCCTCGGGCCCCCGCAGAGGCAGTCGCAGATCCCCCACAGGAGGAACAGACCAACAACGGGGCTTGGCCTTCAAAAGCCGAGGGGAACACAAGCAGTACATGGACCCCTTGCCTCAAGGGCCTCTGGCGGGAATCTGCCGCAAGCCTCGAGAGCTCGGGACCGAGGGCCTCGGAGGGCTCGGGAGGGGTAGCGAAGGACTCCTGATGGGAGGGGGTGCGAGGCGAGGCAGCAGCAACAGCAGCTTCCACCCACTGCAACACCACCAAATCCCATCACAAATATGATCCCCACAAGAGACGCCAGCGTGAGCCCCTGGGCCCCTTCGTTGTCAAACAGCCCCGCCCCGAAGTAAAAAATCTCGGCCCGAGTCACAAATTTGACCAGTTGCCTAAACAGCACCAGCATGCCTTTGACCAGTCGAGCTGTCTGACTATCCGCAGGCTCCTTCGAAGAAACTAGAAGGCCAACTTTTTTCCAGGCACTGGGCAAATACAGGGCAATCAAATCCGAAACTAGAGAATGAGCTGCCCGACTGACCTCCCTGCGGACGACTTGCACCCTGCCGGCGGCACACATCGAAACCTCATCAATCACGTCCTTGACCCAAACAGTTGGTCTTGGCGTCGCTGCGCGGCCCCGGCTCGCTAGAAGGAAAAGCCGTGCCAGCGCGGTCGCTCCAGAACACGTTGCTAGAACGGTCTCATTTCGATAGATGGTGCGGCGGATCGCTCCTTGCCACGTCACTCTACGAGGCGCTCGATGCACTGCGCAGAACGCATGGAGCAAAGGCAAAGGGAAATCAGCGTGTCCAGCCGCATCGCGCAATTGCCTACGGGAGATGCGCTCGCAAGACTTCCTGAGGTAGAAAAGAGGGTTGCCGTTTCCAGCCCTGGGGTCACTCGAGCGAACGTTGCCAACTCGTTGTGGACCGATGCGATTTTATCGCAGGCCGTGCTGGAACTCATCCCCCAGAAAAACCGAGAGCCAACCGCCCGCTCCCATCGAGAGCGCAGCTTCTGACGGATTCTATATCAAACTCGGGCAAACAGAGGGGGGCCGCCCTCTGGGGCGAACGCCCCCTGATGGCTCGTCGAGAATGATCAACACCAGCCACATGGCTCCAGTGTTCGGCCGTTCTTCCCACGCCGACCAGATCTCCGCAAACGCCCCGACCAGCGGCAGGGGCGGCTGGAACGGCAAGCGCGGGCTGAATTCGCCCCTGCCCAGGCTCGTTGAGGGGCTGAACGTCGACGCCGCCCCCAGCGGCATTTTAACCGAGATCGGATCGAGCGAGCCCTCGACAGCCCAGCTACACGGATGCAGCTCCTCCCTTTTCAAAGCCAGAACGGTTCGGCGGCTGTGCGAAAGCCATTTCTGGGTGTAAAAAAGTTAGGACGCAGATTGAGCTCGCGGCCCCAGGCAGCTTGACGTGGCACAAGCTGCGACAGGCAGCCCCTGGCCCTGTCCAAACACCTGGGGCCCTGGATGTCATGGACCTCCCAACGGGCCTTCACAGCAGCCTCGAACCACTTGGACGCCGCCCCAAGCCCGAACAATCAGGGCCAGCTCGGGAGCTAGATCACAACAACCATAGCTCCTCCCTCCTCCTTGGACTTGGGCAGCGGAAGCGCACGAGGCACCTCTCGCTCCCCCGCCTTAGCCTGGCGAGCCAGGTAATGGGGCGCAAGGGCAACTGCAGGGGCCGCAGGCGCGCCGACGAACCGGTCGCAGCTGCGGAACTGCAACGACGAGCACCTGCAGAGCACAATATTGTCGTGGCAGCTGACGCGGCACGTCGACCCTACGGACCGCACGGAGCAGGCCCCCACGTGGTCAATCCACTGGGCCTGTCGCAGAGACTCGGCATTTATGTCTCAGTCGCCTCCGATGAAAAGGGGCCCCCGCCGACGCTGCCACCTCGCCGACATGGCCTGGGAGTTCGCTGTTTGCCCCGGCCAAGCCCAGAGTCGCGCGCCCGTGCCTTAAGATCAACAAAATCTGATGGAATGACCGCAGCCCCAAACGACGACGCGCAACTTGCCATCGCAGCCCATGGCCCAGTCGTGGCGGGCCAGTGAGGAAGAAGCAGGTGCTCTTGAAATCGGACCCCGCAATAGATTGTGTCCGTGACCTCTTTGGCCCATTCGAAGAACTTCAAGCCAGTTGTCCAAGCGTTGGAATCATGCGTCGCGCGCGAAGCGAAACACATCCGAACAAGAAGCCTCAGCAGGGAAGGTGCCGCTCAGGACCGGCATCGGCCGCCCTCTCGCGAGAGGCCCAGTCCAGAGGCTGGGCATGGGGGCGGGCGCCGACCACCCGCGCGCGCGCGGCCGTCCACCCATGCCCACAGCGCTCCCCCTTGGGGATCTGCCCCGGCACAAGACTCGGGCCCCCCACCCCGATGGCTAAGCACACCGAACATGGCGCCGTGTCTCTGTCCAGGGGCAGTGCAGATTGCGAGCTGGCCGCCTCCGAAGTCCGAGCCTGGCGCCGCACCCAGGGGCGGTCGCGTGGCCGCGCCTGGCACGGGGGCGGGGCCGCGGGTCGCGGGGCGGGGGCGGGGCCAGACCAGCGCGCCGCCCTCCTGTCATTTGCAGGCCCGCCCGCGCTACCCCTCCAGCAACGGCGCGACCCCCCAACCTCGCGCCGACGGCGGCCCGCGGGCCCGCGGCGCTCGGGGGGCCCACGAGCACCGCAGAAGACAAATTCCCTAGCGTTCCAGCTACGGTGGCGCTAGCCTCAGCAGCCTTTGGCGGCACAGCCCTGCCCCTCTCGCCGTTCACCTCGCGGGTGCACCTGGGGGCAGGTCCCGGCAAAACAATCTGCGACTGAGCCCAGCCCCTCGCGCTGCGCACCCTTCCTGCTTCTGCTTAAGGATTATTGGATTATTTTGTGTCGCTGGTTTTGCTGCATTTTAGCCTCCAAGATTTAGCCAAATTGGCAAATCAGATTACACCAGTGCGACCATACGTAGAAGTTGGAGCCCCTAGGAAAGCAGCATTAGTTGCTATACTATGCTATGCTATGCTGAGCTATGCTGTGCCATGCTTTACTGCGATATGCTATGCTATAATATGATATGATATGCTGCGCTATGCTATGCTACGATATTGTATGATAAGGTATGTTGTGCCATGCTGCGCTGTGCTATGCTAAGCGATGCGATGATATGATATGCTAAGCTATGATATGAGATGCTATGATATGATATGATATGCTGCGATATGCTATGTTATGCTACGCTATGTTATGCTTGGCTATGTTATGCTATGATATGCTAATGCAGCGCTGCGCTATGATAAGCTAAGCTAAGCTAGCCCTCTAGGAAGAGCCTAGGTAGGGAACTACACCCATGCTAAAGCTCAGCGAAGCTGAGATGAAGGTAAGCTAAGCTAAGCTAAGATAAACCTCGCTCGCCCTCGCTCGCCTCCCCTCTCATCTTCTTTCTCTTCTCTCCACTCTTATATGTCCTGACTCCGTTTTTCTTCTCCTCCATCTCCTTCTCCTCTGTCCTCCTCCTCCTCCTCCTCCTCCTCCTCCTCCTCTGTCCTCCTCCTCCTCTGTCCTCCTCCTCCTCCTCCTCCTCCTCCTCCTCCTCATCTTCCTCCTCCTGTTCCTCCTTCTCCTCCTCTGTTCTTTCTTCCCTGTACCTCCTCCTCCTCCTCCTCCTCTACCCTGGGGGGAGGGGGCAGTGCGGACGTCCTCAGATACCCCAGCGCTGCGCGGAGGCAGGGCCCCAAGGCGCAGGGCCCTGGGGCGC